TATATTATACATATATATATGTATAAGTTTGGTTTTGAGAGAGAGGCGATGGCAAAACGAGCACTGAGGGGAGAGCAGGGGAGCGGCGAGCTGCGCATGTCCCCGATCCCTGGAGCTGCACGGAGCGGGCGAGCGGGTGTGAAAATAGAAACATACTATAAAATAAGCACGTGTTCACACACAGAAGTTCAGTACACGCCACAAAGAGGGTGTCTGTCTCATGGTGGCGGTGCGTGCCTCTACAGACGCACAGCACGGCTGAACTGAAGAAAAACTAAGTGAAGTTACAATTTAAAGTTATAAGTCATAATTGGCTAAGAAGGCAAAGGGACGTGAGCACCAGCTAAGCTGGCTTGATTGTGGCCTGCATGGAGGGTGCTGAAATACGGACTGATCCCGAACCTGGTAAAAACCCGCCAAGCTGTCCAAGACGGTGCAGGGCACCCAGCTGTGTAAGGCAGAAAATGTCTGGCTTGCCGACAGCTGCCCCATGGGGTCTCTGTGGGACGCTGGGGAGAGGCAACGTCGGTAGGGAGCCGCGGTGGCCTTTACTAAGTCGACTGAGAGAGCTGATCGCGCAGGCCCCAACATGTGTTTTCAGGAGTTTTTTATTTCTTCTCCCCCCTCAGGACTCAGGAGATAGGGCCAGATGTTCAGGAATGTGCAAATTTGTTCCCTTAATAATCACGGATTGGGCCATGACCAGAAAGCGTCAGAAATAAAAAATCCCCTCCCTGCTTTAACAGCTCCCTCTCGGAAACTTTGCTCAGCAGCTGGGACCGTGTGCCGGCGCGGCTGCTCCGGCAGCCTTCAGCCTGGCGGGCCGAGAGGTTGCGGCGTTGCAGACCCATGCCAAAGGCGCGTGTCTTCTGCCTGAGCTCCGGTACAGCTTCAGACTTGCAGGAGTCTGCAATGAAATGGCAGTAGATAGGAGATTTTACTGTCTCTTGGGGAGCACGGCAGCGCATCCCCACCAGTCCATCAAACCTTTTTGGACCTTGTTCTTCCTGCAGGCGCATGAGAGGGGAAGCTCAGGGTTACTGCACCCGAGCTGAACAAGTCTGGTTTTGGTAAGAGCCTGGGTGAATTGAGGCTAAACCCCACCCCGCACAGGCTGTGGCAGCTGAGGGGATGTTTCACTCTGCCTTGTGCTCTGGGTACGCTCCTTCTGCCGGGGGGTTTCCTCCTGCACCTCCTGCACCCGTGGGCGCCGCACGGGCGCAGCTGAGCCCGCAACCACGCGTGCGAGTAGCTCTTGTGAAGCACTAGCCACGTGGGCCGAGCCTGAGGGCACCCGGAACCTGCACTGAGTTTCAAGGTCTGAGCCAGCTTCCTTCCAAAGGGCCGAGGCAATGCATTGAAAATGGGGCCTGCGGGGGCGGGAGGAACCTCGAGGCCGCCCCGTGTTTCCCACGAGCCGCAGAGGCAGCGGCTCCCGGGGGAAGGGTGGGGGGGGGGGGTCTGTCAGGAGCAGGGGCCTGAAGGGACTGGGAATGTGGGCCCCGATTTGCTCCTTTTGGCACATGGCACTCTCTCTCCCATGGAATCCGAGCTGCTCTGGAATGGTAAATTCCTTTTGTCCTCAGGACGGGGCTGGGAAAGAAGGCTTAAATAACCCGTAACTGGGAGTCAGAGAGGATAATTTCATGAATCCTCAAAGCAGCTTCTCCCAAAAGAACTTGGTGAATTTGCCTTTTCGACGTTGGGCTCAGAAGGGCAATTCCTAATAGTGATACCTGCTGTCAGGGAGCGAGGCCAGACACAAGACTTGGATGAGACTCTCAGAAACATTTCCTGGTGAGATGCAGGAATCTCTGAGCGCGGAGCTGCCAGCTTCCACGTCCCAGAGCTGATGAGTCAAAGCAAGCAAGGGAGGCATCAGGTTCTTCTCCCTTCTTGCTCCCAGGAAGCCCCACTGGCTTCAAAGTGCTTTTGGAAATGAAGTTAGCAGTAATCCTACAGGTCACTGCTGAAAACAAGTGCAAGGGGGAACGTGGGTATTACATGGTGTGGGAGTTGTGCTGCTTCCATTCAAAATGGGACGAGTCAAATGTCAAAACTGAGACTCGCAAAGGTGGCACCAAACAACAGATTCCTTCAAGCCATATATGTACGTGCCAAGAGAAATGCAAAAACGAACCAAAATGGGTAAATGAGAGTAAAAACAGAAATCCTGCTGCTTCACCCATGGAGGGAATCTGCACCACAAGCTGGACAATGAGCTGTCAAAAAGGGAGCTCCCTTTTTGTCCTCATCCCTTCTTCCCTTCTCCTCGCTAAAGGATGTAGAGTTAGGATGTAGAAAGCTCCTATCCAATGTACCAGAGATTCGACTAAGGTCTATTTTTTTTTTTTTTCCTGCAAACGTACCAATATGATGTTCTTCAAATCTCTAGGAAACAAACGCTTTGGTGGAACAGAAATATCTTGGAATAGAAGTATCTATTTTCAGCTTTTAAAAACAAAACAAGGAAGAATCTGTAACTTCACTCAGATCGTTGCCTTTTCAGATGTTCTTTTTTAAGGGCCATACATACATTTTTTGCCATTGCTCTTTATCTGCAATCTAACATCTGTAAGCTGATTTACAAGCGGACCTGCAGGAGCTCTCCGCCTCGGAGGGAAGCGGCCTCCTCGCTGAATTTATGCTCTGACACTGCTGACCTTCGCCAGCTATGTAAAGTACATTTCCTTCCTATGCCAAAGGATAAAATCAGCTGTGTGAAGAACAATACATGCACAGACAACATGGAAAATGCTGCCGAGGACCTTCGGATACTTAACTGCAAAGCTGCACTTGGCCGTGCTCCAGGCTCCGCACGCACGAGCACACACTGGGATCGCAAGTGCCTTCCAAGGGAATCGCGGCCAAGCCATTCAAAGGCATTTCGGCCTTTAGTTTGCTGTGGCTTTAATGACTATTAGGCAGCAAAATTCCTCTGAAGCTTTGCGCTTGCGATTACCGGGCCTGCGAGGTTTGGGCCGCGGGTGGAGGGATGATTAGCCTCAAGTTTGTGCTGGAGCGGGGGGTTTGCGCCGCAGTGACTTGTGCAGCGCTACGATGCTGCTCTGCGATGTGGCCCCAGGCCGTGTCTAGAAAGGGCTTACGGGAGCCACGACTGCCGTCACGGTGCATCCCGCCTGAGGGAGGGCGGCGAAACCTCTGCCTTGAAAAGCTCTTTGGCACGAGCCGTCCGGACGTACGGGGTCTTGGGGCAAGAGGGAGATACCTAAGCGCACCTTTGCACCTCTGTCCCTTGGGAAAGGGGCCCCTGCTCCTCACGCTGTACAAATAATGAAAAGGTCGCTTCCTTTCCCTTTCAGCACATTAAAAGAGCCAGAAAATGTTTTCCTCTCACTGCCATGGCAACCGCCCGCCTAAATCTCCTCCTCCTCCACACAGAGCAGCCAAGCGCCTGCAGAAAGCGCCCTGAATGGACAAACGCGACCGAAAAATGGCCGTGAATGGACAATCGCGACCCTTTCCACGCCAGGAATCCCAGGCATTTCCCGGCTATCCTGCAGCACATCCCAGCACCCTTGCGCGCGACCCCAGGGCCCAGCCAAGGGTTTAAAGGCAAGATGGGCTTCGGCCTTAACCCTCTTTAAAAAGTCACCTCAAGTTTTCTCTGAAGTTTCCTTAAGCACACTCGCAGGGCTGATGCCTCATAGCCCTTCTCCCCGGCGCTATAACCACGGCAGGCGGCTCATTTCCTGTGGGAGTCTGGGCTGTGCAGGTCACTTGGAAATACCTGAGGTGCGCGATGGGTTTGAGCAGGAAAGCAGTAAAAGACCTGGTGCAAAAATGTAAACAAAGTTGACAGTTTCTAGCGCGGGCGTATTTGCAGGGGGGGAGCCTGGCTGCTTGTTGCTGCCGGAGTGAATCCTGCCTGTCAGCCTGATGTGCCGGCTGCAAATCACAGCGGGAAATTACAGGCGCTCCCTCCGGCTCTGTAAAGGGGCTTAAGGAAATGCATAATTCATCCACACCAGTCAAGGCTTTTCCATTGGGAGGAGAGCGCAAAGGACCTTAGGGCTTTAGGGTAATGGAGAACACGGCCCCAGCAGGAGCAAAGCAAGCGCTGTACATGCCTGGTGTTTTGTTTTTCTCCACATACTCCGGAGGACAGGAGGCTGGTGCACAGGGTGGCCAAGCTGGGGAGGCCTCATGCTGTTCCCCACCTTCAAGAGGCTCTGTGGGAACACGTAAGGTTCGCATGGCAGTGCCTTTTGGTCTGGAGCTGCTGTTCCTCCCCACGCTGCCCCCCGGGGCCTCTGCATTCCTGGGGAGACTGGAGCCCGCCGCGGCCTCCCTTCTTCTCTCTGAAATTAACCCCCGAGCAGCGTGGACTGCTGAGGGCCCCACGACGCGGGCTGCCAAGGGCAGTGCCACACGGGGTGCCAAGGGCTGTGCTGCTCGCAAGGCCCCGGCCGGGAAGCCACGGTGCCGGGCTGCGGCGGCGCAAGGTAGCCCTCCTTTTCTCCGCCTCTTTTTCAGCGCGTTAACTCACATTAAAGCAGCGTCACAATGTGCTCAGCCGCCACGCGTGGCCTCTGGCAGCCCCACGCAGAAGGAGCGCTGCACAGCAGCTGACATCCAGCCATTAGTCACCCGCCGAGGGTGACTTGGTGGACGTCGAGTGGACTTCCCAGATGCAGTGACTGCGTCCATCCCGTCTTCCATGCATGGCCTAGGAGGATCTCTCTGATCAACAGATGTTTTAAAATGCTCTTTCGCATGGGAAAATTGTGAAGTACATATTTTTATTGCGCCCTTGCGATTTTATCCAGCCACGTGGATCTCCAGGGATGGAGACGTACTTAAGAAAAGCATTTGCTTCTAAAAGCTTCTGCAACTTTTCACAATATCTTCTTGGCTTTGCCATCCCATGTATCTCTATTTTGCAGCAATTAGTCAGATATACTAATTTTACTGGTATGTATTTGAAGACAATTCATTTTCTTTTGTAGCAAAAATTTATGTTATAGGAATTCTCTTAACCTCCATCAGAAAGAAGCCCAGGGGGCCCATCCCACCTCTTTAATAAATTGCTCTTTTTTCTGGCCAAGTTATTTGTCCCGTGTTTATTACTCCTGATCACGGCGCTGGATCTCGTGCGGCTGTTAGGACTGCATGTGTTTAGCTTCACAGACTGCTGGCACCCGGTGCAACTGCTGGAGAGCAGCTCCCAGTGTCAGCTGCGCCTTTCCCGGGGCAGCAGGAGGTGGGAGCGCTCGGAGATCCTCGGACATTTCCACGCTGCATTTTGGCACCTGTAAACAGCTACACGTAGCAAGGGCAAGTTCAGAGCGTGACCGTCGGCCTCTCCCTTGCAAGCAGCCCAGGAAGCACGGGCAGGCGCAGGGCTGCTGCTGGGTTCAGCACTGCACAGAGGTAATATTGAAGCTTTCTCTATTTGCGCACTCCTGCCCTGAGCAAGCAATTGGGCAGCCTAAAACAGACTGCGGATGAGCATGGTGCAGGCATATGAGCATACAAGGAAATGTCCTGGATATTCGGTATTACGGGATATTTTTTGATGAGGTTTCTGTGATCAAAATCCATGACAGATTGGGGCCATGTCACCCAACAGCAAATACAAATTTCGAGTCTCTCGTTACCAACAAAATGGTTTGCAGAAAGCCATGAGGATCTCTATCTGTAACTGTGCTACACACTTTTTGCAAGCTATTTACATTACAGAGAGCATTCACCGAGGCAAAGAACTTCACTCGTTGAAGCTCTGTTTAATTAAGGCCCAGTTCTCAGAGCATCTGGGCGTTCACTGCTCCAAGAAAGTAGCAGCACTTCAGATCATCAGTTCAGGTATCAGCCACAGCTCAGCCATCCATTTGGATATCTAACGGAAAGGCAAAAATACTGCAATTCAGAGGCACCAAAAACTTACAAGCTCAGGAAAGTGTTAGCTTTTGACTGTTTAAACTCTCTGACTACACACAAAAGCAGGACTGATTTTTATACAGATGATGCTGGATTGCAACTCCAGTGTTAAAAACAGCCCTGGACTTTCCTAGAATAAATATGGCCCTGCCTGACACCAACTTGATGGAGAAAAGTGCCGCAAGACAAAGGCTGAGTGAGACTTTGGGCCTCCTGGGTCAGAGGGGGTTAGTGAATGCTGGAAAGTTCTGTGGTACCGGAAAGACAGTTCATTCAGGAAGGGAAAAATCCCATCCCACCTTTCCTCCTCATGCCGGCCGCATGCTCTTTTATCATGTGTGCTGCAGATGACAGCCCTGATGCTGGGCTCTCCTATGCACAGATAACATTCCCATCCAGCTCTCATTCTGTTACGACCAAGCACATATTGGTCAGCATCCACGCTTTTTCTTCAGGATATACGCCCAGTTTCTGTAAAAAAATAATGTGGCTGTAGTCCCAGTGACGCTGCTCTAAGTCATGGTCAGAAGCCAGACTGATACAATCCATTTCAACTTGCTGTAGGCCTGCTGGCGTGACTCCAGACTATATGTATTTTGTGCTATTGCTAATCACTGCTTTTTCTTCATTAGTGTGCAGAAGTCCACTCCTTGTTTTTATTTTTGCCTGAATCAAAGCGACATCTACAATTTACTGCTTCATCTTGCAAGAGCAAACATACTCCAGTGCGAACAGCAATAAACACTGTGGTCTGCAGCTCAGGCCCGCAGTGACTGCAGCTTTTGTTAAAAGGCACCACAGGGCCATTGGGTGCACAACATCTTTCTTCCTTCTTGTAAACTCCAAGAGTTTTTATTTATGCCAAACATGGCACCCTTCCCCCCAAAGAAAAATTCTGCGAAAATGGCTGCATGGTGCGTGTTAAACTTTTATTTGGAAAAAAGCAGGACTGTGCTGTGCTGCAGCTTTTAAAGGGTCTCTTTCACAGTCCTTTTAGGGACATCAGAGCGGGAGTTTTATGGATTCGTAACAACATATATGTCAGGCAGACACTGGAATTCAGATTATTTTAACTTCAACTAAGGGCCTGTGTGTAAACGTCTGAATGCATTCCTTTGTGGCTGGGATGTGCGGAGTGTTAAAACTGCAAAGATCCTATCTTCACTATAAATATTCCCTTCCTTAGTCACCCGTGTGTCAAAGGGCTGCTAAAGAGAGAGCTGCACTAGCGTGGTCCAGAAGGAAGTAGAGACCGGGCAGTTTTGTTGCGGAATTGGCAAAGTGCAGAACCAATCCTGCCCAGTGCATCTCGCATCTCTGTTCTGTAGCGGGATCTTTCACACAGAAAATGCATAAAGGCAACAAAATGACGTGTTGTATTGCTTAACAGTAAGTGAGCCTTAAGATGCTCAAGTGGGACATTCTTATTGGTTGCTTTTCAACTTAATACACGAGCTGGATGACTGTGGGGTTCACAGATTTCAGACCTAGCTGTTTGTTCCTGTGCACATCCCTGAAAGCGCCTGGTTTACTGGACTACTCAGTTTAATGGCTGTTAAGGAAAGGACATTCTCATACAATGAGCTCTGTAGTCGTCTCTTTGGAAAACCTTTTTCCAAGCACTTGCTAAATACACTAAACATTTCCATGTGGCTATAACAGCAACGTATTGTACCAATAAAAGGGTTGCAATGAGGCATGAGAATGACTATGTGTTTTATTGAAAGTCTGGATGCTTTTTAGAAACTGCTATTTCTGCTTAATGAACCCCTCAGAAAAACAAGATTTTTTATTCAAGTTTTATGATTTAGGCACAGTAAGAACTAGGAGTAGAAGCAAAAAATATGCTGTCTGCCTTCACTGTTGCTGCATTACTGGTAGCCAACTCATCTCGTTCTCAAATCCCCCTGAAATTCCCTGAGACGGCTGATGAAGAGAGAGCAATTTCCACTCCCTTCCCTACATAAACAACTGTCAGCACTTTATGGAATTTGAATCTCTCATGTATAAACCAAAAGAAACCTGAAAGCAAGTAAGGAGGACCCTGGCTAAAGCAGGGCTCAGATCAACCATTTGACTGTTTCCACAGCGTGCCTCCAAAATGTAAAAGAAATACGTGAAACCATCCTGATTATCTACCATGCCTGAGACCATTAACCACTATTAAACAAAGCCTTTTAATTAATGCTAAATTGTAAGAAATGTTACTCCGGGAAAAGTTAATTAGTGCTATGGTACCCAAATATGAGCGATAGGGAACAAAGACTAAGACTGATTACAGCTCACCTAACACTTGGTGTGGCAAGCACCTGTGACACTTGTCTAGCCCTGGAAACATAGTTATGCCTCTGCATCTATCCCAGCCAGCCTTCCAGCAGGACATATTCCAGAGGTTAACACTAAAAACATGTACAAAATTTACATTCTGTTACAATCATACAGTTCTGTTCTTCCTTCTCATTCTCCCAGAGAATACAGGCAAATAGCATCTTACCTTCAAGAAGCTTTAATTCTCTGCTTTTCTCCATGTTCAAATGAAGATTTAGCAGCAACCCGATTTATTAACAACACATTATATGAGATTTAAATAACCATCATTCATATTTTTGAATTAGTTTCCTCTTGAAGGAGTCCAGTCCCCTTTCATAGCCCAGCAGTGCCTTAATTATTCTTGCACTAGGAAGTTGATCAGGGCAGTTCTTGGAGACAGAAAAGCCTTTTTAATGGTTCGTCCCTGGAGATGCCTGATTCCAAGTTCACTTTGAAGAACTAGTTCACGGACTTCTTCAAAACTGCAGGCTGCTTGCTGAGGCACACTGACTTTGCCACAAGCTTTGTTATTGATCTGAAAAACAGAGAGAAGAAAACAAGAAAAAGCAGAAATTACTATGCTGATTTATACAATTTAATCTTCTGAATCTGATTAATCTTGTTACACATGGGGAAAAAGTGACTCAAACTTTCTTTCCTCTCACACCAATTTCTAAGCAGATGATAAAAATCTCCATGCCTCCTGCTCTCCTCCTATACTGTAAAAGAATAAAAATCTGATTCACGATACTCACAGAAACTTTAAGAAGTGACAAAAGGAAGTTTTGTTTCTGATCACAGCAAGCATCGTGGGACTACGCAGTGCTGTGATCTTCTAAGTTTGAAAAAGGATGGTTGCACAAGCTGAATAAAGAGAGTGAACATAATGTTTGTCAGGTGGAAATATTGATTTACACGTACTTCTAGATTGCATTTTACCTTTTTTATAGCTAAGTGATTTACTATAGAGATTTAAAAATCTTTTTAAAGACCATTTGTGGTTGAAAAGGTATGTATGAAGGAGACTCATCACAACTCATTTTTATAAAAATAGACATTAACTTATTGTATGTTGCATTCTTAGCAAAACCATGGTTCATAAAGCTAACACTAACCACAAAGAATACAGTCTCTCACAGGTACTGCTTTCCTGGGTTTGGCGGCTTGTCAGAGCACCTTCCATACTGATTTTGAATCACTGGGACAGAATTATGCAAGTGAAACAGAGTACGGCTGCCCCTGGGAATCATCTCAATTTATAAAATAGCCTTATGACTGCATCACTTCTTTATCATGCAATAAAAGCAGATACTGTATGGATTGCATAGAGTCCTATTGCCTACCTTCCTTTCTGGAATTAACATAAAATCCCTTAATTATCACAAAAGGTTTCAGATTTAATGAATAATATCAACTCTACATTTTATCAGATTAAATAGTTGGTTATTTTTTATGCAGTTCAAATCAGTTACTTGCGTAACAGGCTGTTGCACATACTGCAGATCTTTGCACCTTTAGACCCCACTGCACATATTTTTCCATCATCTAAATGTAACATGCTGCTTCAGATAGCTTGAACATAAAAATGTAGCCTGGTTTTCCCCTGAATTTTCTCCAGGCTGCACATACACAATGTACTTGCCACAAAAGTGGTACGTTTCACTTCCTGGTTGACATTTTATTTTCAATAATCTGTGCAGTTCTCTGACAGGAAGATGAAGAGGAACAAGATGAAGTCTTAAATGCACCCAGGATGAGTCATTTCTGCTTTCTGACTAGACTTGACACTAATTTGCAGTGATACTGCAGGCAGGCCTTCAACCATTCTTATATGCATCCTTAACTCAGTATCACAAAAGGCCCTGCCTTTAGTACCTTAATGCAAAACAAATCCTTTAAAAAATATCTTTGCTTTTATAGCCTTTATTAAAAGTAATTATTCTGATTAACAAAAATACCCTTTTGACAGAGTACCTTAAAGAAGTACTCCATAGGAAAAAAGAAAATGGTAGAATCAAAACTGATACGGTTTTAGTAAGAATATGAAGCAAGCTGATGAGCTCGCAGCTGGGGTAAACAGCTTCTAGTTCAAAACTATGCCTGCTTCATGAAGATGCCATTGGGCTCCCTCCGTGATGCAGGTTACTGCCGCCTTGCAGACAGATTGTGGCTGAGACAAAATGACAGAACTTGCACATTTGCTGCTAGTCTCAAGAGCCAAAGGGTCTGGGCCAACAGAGCACACAGGTGGCTTTGGGAAGCTGTGTCTTCCCAGACACTCCAGACCAGGGAGCGGAGGCACCTCCCTGCTCTGCCAGCCCTCATCTCCTCGCCGTGGGCAGAGCCTGCAAGCTGAACCCGACAACAGATTGGTCATGATTTGGGCACGCGTTTGCAGGAGGGTTTGCCTTATGAGTTAGGCATCCTGATCCGATGTCCGGCGTATTAACTTTGTTCTTAAAAAAGCCTCGGCTGATCTGACGTGCACGTGTAACAAGCACCCGTCTGCATTTGTTTTTGAGAGGTCAGATTCCCAGCAGGACAAATATCTTCTGCCCTCTTCATCTCTCTGCATATCGCACTGGACAGCAGGTGCCCTCAAGAGCTGCAGGGAAAAGTGCCAGTACAAGAAACCTGGGTGCCATTTGTCTTGTTTCTCTCAACAAGCTTCGTTAAGAGAAGCTTCTCAAGCAAGAGAAAACACAAATGAAGCTTGGGTTCTTCCCTCCCTGGGAAGGAAGCTGTCCATTTCCTTTCCATTTTTTTTTTCCCTTTTTTGATTAAACATTTGACCTTCTAAACCACTTTGAACCTAGAAGGATCAGAACGCTAGAGAAACCATGAAGGATCAAATGAAAAAATAAGCACCTGTAACATTGCAGAGATGAACTTTTCGTTAGACTCAGAAGGGTTTTTTTGATTTTGAGGAATCAAAAGGAAAAAAAAAATCATTATCTGTGCATTTTCAGTCCTTCCTCATATTCCAAGGCAACAAAAATGCCACCAACTCAGCTTATTTTTTAACATTGGTCTTAAGAGACAGGGGTTGTGAGCATGACCTAAAAAACTGATGAATGCTGGTCACAAGTGTGTTCACAGGATGAAAGATCAGACTATTCACATGACATTTATGTCACTTTTTTAGCAATAACATATGGTATGATGTGATTGAAGGGCAGGGAAATTACAAATATTCAACTTACAATAATATCTAAAATAATAAATACATACACATATCCATTGAATTTAAGTGTTTTCTTGTATAAATGTTATACTGTATCAGCCAAAGATGCCATAACTTGGTTTGGGCGCTTTGGGTTAAAAATGAACAGACGTAACACCAGCATAGACAGGAAATAATGAAGTATCTCATGTCAAGAGAAATAAAACCATAATGTCTCAGCAGGCAGTTTGCTGGCAGCCTGAGGCAGTTTGATGTCTTGAGAAGAATAGAGCGATGGCCCAAAAGACTCAGTTTCACTGTGCAGTGTGAAGAGACACTGGCTCTTTGCAACAAACCAATTCCTCCTTATTTTGAGAGCTTCTTGTTTTAATGAGAGCAATTTATTTTTACAACCATAAAAATCCTACAGTGTCCACAAGGGTTTAACGCTTTGAAATATTCACATTTATAATGACTTTTTACTGCTTCTCTGTATTTTCCCTTCACCTTACTCCTACAGTGGAAATCCAGGCACTCCCACAGGCACTATTTTTAAGAATTCCTTTCAGTTCCTAAGAGGAATTATGTTGTATCAGCCAAAGCTGCAGTGACTCAACTTCTGCCTCTTTGGTTTAAAAATTGACTCTGGTCTTTCATTCATGTACTTCCTTGAGTGTAAATAATATGTTTATGTGCATCATATTCTTCCATGAGTAGATGCTTGAGCACAAGGGATTGTTCCTTTTCTTAACAGAAGAAATGTACACAAAAACATTAGTGAAATCTTTAGGCATTCTTATCTCAGAGTCACACAGAATGACAGAATGGTTGAGTTTGGAAGGGACTTTTGGTGATTACCTAGTCCAACTCACCTGCTCAAGCAGGGAAACATAGAGCACATTGCACAGGAACGTGTCCAGACAGCTTTGGATTAGCTCCCTGGATGGAGATTTCACAACCTCTCAGGGCAACCTGATCCGGGGCTCAGTTCCCTTCACAGTAAAGAAGCTTTTCCTCATGTTCAGATGGACTTTCCCCTGTTTCAGTTTGTGCCCGTTGCCTCTTGTCCTATTACTGGGCACCGCTGAAAATAGTCTGGCCCTAGCCTCTTTACAGGCTCCCTTCAGATATCCATACACATTGATCAGATCTCCTCTCAGTCTTGTCCAAGCTAAACATACCCAGCTCTCTCAGCCTTTTCTCGTAAGAGATGCTCCAGTCCCCTGACCACCCTAGTAGCCCTGTGCTAGGCCCTCTCCAGTAGCTCCATGTCCCTCTTGTACTGGGGAGCCCAGAACTGCACCCAATGCTCCAGATGTGGCCTCAACAGGACGGAGCAGAGCGGCAGGATCCCCTCCCTTGACCAGCTGGCAACGCTCCTCCTGATGCACCCCAGGACACCAATGGCCTTTTGGGCCACAAGGGCACATTGCTGGTTTGTCCACCAGGACAACCAGGTTCTTCTTTACAGAGCTCTAGCAGGTCAGCCCCCAGCCTGTCCCGGTGCTTGGGTTTAATCCTCCCCTACACTTGCAGGACTCTGCACTTGCCTTTGTTGAACTTCATGATGTTCCTCTCTGCCCATCTCTTCAGCCTGTCCAGGTATCTCTGAAGGGCTGCACAGCCCTCTGGGGTATCAGCCACACCTGCTGGTTTTGTAACACCTGCAAACGTGCCGAGGGTGCGATCCGTCCCATCACCCAGATCACTGATGAGTAAGTCAAACAATGTCGGGTCCAGTACTGACTCCTGGGGGAAACCGCTGGCTACTGGTCCCCAGCTGCACTCTGCCCCATGATCACCCCCTCTGAGCTCTGCCTTTCAGCCAGTTCTCACACCACCTCACTGCCCACTTCCCGAGCTTGCCTATGAAGATGCTATGGGAGATGCATCCAATTAAGGTAGACAACATCCACTGCTCTCCCCTCATCTACCCAGCCAGTCAGGCCACTATAGAAGCATGGCAGATTGGTTAAGCACAATTTCCCTTGCTCCATGCTGACTAATCCTGATCACCTTTTTGTCTTTCACACGCTTGGATATGGCTTCTGGATGAGCTGTTCCATCACCTTTCCAAGGATGGAGGTGAGAGTGACTGCTCTGCAGTTCCCTGGGTCCTTTAGAAGAAAACAAACAGCCCCCTACTCCTTTCTCCTAAGGCAGCTAGGAGAGCATCATTTGTATTTCCCATACAAACAATGCAGTTTGTTTACATGACGAAAGGTCATTTCTTTTAGAGGTCCCACCTCATCCACGTACAGGATGGACCAAAACACACAAAAAAAGGTATTTAAATTTAGAATGTGTGTGCATGGTATGTTCAAAGGTTATCCACTGGTGAGCAGTGAATAAGGAAGACTCCTGTAAATGAAATAGTATCCAACCACATAATTGCAGATTATCACAATGCCTGAGGATGAGGAACTGAAATTCAAGTTGAGCAGGAACCAGTTGACTGAAGAACTAAGACACTTGGACCCTCCCTGTTGGTTCAAGGTCCTGCAAACTCTTTATAGCCTTTATGGCCAGCTGCTACTGTGCTCTGTCCAAGCTTTATGATGCCTTGGTGTGTGCTGGATAAGAGTTAGATACTTAGAAATGATGGAAACAGGATGGTAAACTACATTGTGCCATGTACATATTTGGGAAGCTCACAGTTTAGGCAAATGTAGTTAGACTTGAACTCTTCTGCCAACTCTTTCCACAAACCACAAAGGTGTTAAAGCTCAAAGTAAAAATGAAACCTAATTCGAACATAAACAAAGCTACCTCCTTTGCTCAACCCCATTCCTGGAAATACGCTTTGCCAGAAGTTCAGCCTGAGGAAACAGGAAACACAGTTTGGCAAAATCATACCAACTAAAGCCAGTTTGTAATAGGTTGTATTAGGCAACTGTAGGATTACTGGTAGCACAGGAAGTTTCACCTAGTTACGCTTTTTATACAAGGACAAGATTAAGAATGGACTGACAGGTAAAAAAATCTGGGGGGACTTGTATTTTGAGCATAGCTTGGGCTATACAGTCCTTTCCCTCAGTTGCTCATTGGTCAAATCTCTCCGAAGAGCAATATTCACAGTCACTCAAAGTTTTTTATTTAGATAATCTTCCTTCCAGAATTACTATTTTTTTTTTCAGTTCAGACACCATTTTAAAACCATCAAAACTTCAACTGCAGCTTCGATCTCCTTGGACCTCCTGCTGAGCCATGTAAGAAGGGGTGAGATTCGCATAGGAGCAGAAATTCTGTCATCCTAATGCACTAGCAGAGTGCTACAGCAAATAAACACGGCACTCTTACCAGAACAGACATCTCTATAACATCTGATGGCCGAAGGTAATCTGGGTCCATCTGGGGCCAGGACTGATGCAGCACGTCAGCATCCCAGTTATGATGAGCACAAAGTTTATTCTGCATGTCCGCCAAACCTGCAACATGAAACCAGTCAACTGTTTAGCTGCCCTGGAACCAGGGCATTCAATCTTTAGAATTCGTCTGACAAATAAGATCAAAATAAAATTTACTTCAAAAGCCATCCTCTTAGGAGGAAATCACATTGTTTATATTCACATACAGCACATTATAAACAGAAGGATACGTATCTTTGAAAATGTTTCTTTCAAACGATGCGAAAGGACTCCAGCATGAACATTGTGGGTACACTTAAATGAAGGTTAGCACACCAAAACATTGCCAGAAGCACAGAAGATCACTGTTTATTGTTTTAAAGTGTTATTCTGCTACACAAAGTGATCTCTAGCTTTAGAAGCTAATCATAACATCACATTCACTTCAACGGCAATGCCAATTGGATAAAAGTTTTACCAACAATTCAGTTAAAATAAGAACGCTGATTTTTATAAATCATTGTTTATTACTTTACCATCTGATGGATAGTTTCTAAATTTGCAAGTCACGCTACTTGCAAGATTTTCTCTTATTCTGTGAAGTATCTGCTTTCCTACAAATTAAAGACACTCCAACACACACAGTTTGCTCTGCCATAGGACATACACTTTCGGAATGACTTTATCCTTTGATTTTATTTAACAACACTGGTAAAATAACTATAAATGACCCTGTGTGAAACACACTTTGCTCTCTCAGAGATAATCAGTTCCCAGCTTGTCCAAGTAACAGCAGAAGAAGATTAAATTCACCCTGAAGTCACATTCGGTAACTGAACAAAAGCTTCTGGGTGGAAATTATGTGTCTATTGACTCTAACTGCAGGGCAAGATAAAAGATTTCACTTAACAGGAAGGTTTCAAATGTGATCAGTAATTTAACTGCTACTGTGATTGTTTTTCACACAGCTAGGGAGCTTTCAAATTAAAAAGCAGAGGTTTATGAATGAGAATACAGATTAGAATTCTTTTTAGACATGTTTCATCCAGAATTGCAAAAAGTAACAACTGAAGAGCATCTGAAAAATGATCTCATTGAGGAAATCTCAAGCAAGGGCATAAAGAAAACACTCTTGGCATGAGATTCACTGTTCAGACTGACGCATCCCAAACTGCCCAAAACACAGCACAAGGACAGACATATCACACAAACAAGCCGTGCCTGCTACATAAATGGATTTATCCGGTTGGATTGCTTAGACTAACATACTGAATAACATCAAACAAAGACAGAAAGAGAATGCAACTTCCTCCCAAATAAAATCATCCAGACTTCTGCCAGTGCTTTTGAGACAGAGCCCTCCTACAAATGACACACACAATCTTGCTGTTTTCCTAATGATTCAGAAGGAGCCAGGGCGGTGGATTGCTGGGAGGTATTTCTAACAGCAAGCAAGAATGTGCATGTGTTTCCTAAGAGCAACCACTGAGTTACAATCTTATTAGGTAAGTAATTGATTCAGCACTTCAATAGATACAGATTTCTACTGCATTTTTTTTTCTCTTGCGACAGTGGCTCAAGCGCTTGAAGTGCGAAGAATGGGAAACTGAGTAGAAAAGAATCTTCACATTGGTGATTCATTTTCATGTTGACTTTAAAAAAACAGCTGCTAGGTTCTTCTCCTTTTTGCTTTTGCACACAGGAATGAGCTCCCTTCTTTCCAAGTGATCACATGCCGTGTGGCAAAGGCAGTCACACTAGCCACTCCTCATCCTCTTGCTGAAGAGGATTCTTCAAAATATTTTTAAAACTTTCTGATGCAAGTCAAGAGTTTTTACCTACAAAGGTAAAATCAGGATCACTTTTAAGCCCCATGAATACTGTTAACCCTAACAATCCTACTAATAAAACAAATACAAATACCCTGAAGCAGATAAAGTCTGATTTTAGTACAAGGCCAATCTTTTTAGTTTCTTTTTTCTAACTACAAGAATGAGCCATGAGCTCACCCATGTTAAAAAAGGAAAGTGCAAAAGTCAACAGAACTAGTTTCAGAAAATAGGGTTTGACAGGAAACCAAAATGAAGATTTTACCTATGTTGCCTGTTTGGCTTCCTGTCTTAATTCACATTTTTTGAGCTCCAGAACGCAGAAAACGCCTCCATGGTTTGTTTCACCTTTCAAAACCAGAACTTGAGACCAGCAACTTCACTGCCATCAGCTGGAGTTGCTTGAACACTTAAAAGGATTCGAGGGACCCTGGGTCCAGCCTTCTGACTTGCTCCTGATACACTGCACAAGAGCCCCATTTGACAAGCTAAGGATGAATCATTTCACAGACCCTTCTTGAGAAACCATTAAAATCCTGTCCATGCTGCTGCATGGGCAAGCACCTGAAGGGCACGTTATGAAGTAGGCGGTATTAGGCTTTATATTTCTGACTTGTGTTGTTTTGATGGACCGAAAGGCAACTGAGTGCATTTCTGCTTGTCTGCACACTACTTACATGTGCAGCAATCTTCAGACACAGAGGAAGGACAACCCTCGTGCTCAGTGTGAAGCTCTGATGCTTTAGTCAGCTCTGCTTGAATGGACTTTTACTGACCACTTCACCAATACAGAAACAAAAAACTTTCCTAACCAGTAACTCATAGGATGAGAACCTGATATAAAACATAGTGCTACATTGTACTACCTTAAAAGAGGTGCAGGCGGGGACAGGACGAATATAACAATATTTAAGCTCATGGCAGTTTTTACTAGCATCACTTGACTCCTGAATATTTCATAAAAATAGTACTTCCCCAAGATGCCATTACTGGGGAAAAGTAGACTGTTACTTTAAAGAGAGTTTTAAGAGGAAGAGTTGAAGCCAATCACATATCAAGACTACAAGACAATTCCGGTCTTATGTACAAAAGAATTAGAAAAACGTATCTGTGAAATTCTCGCAACAACACAGCTAGTTTGATGTCTCACTATGCAGGCAATGGCAAAACACAGAAATGTTTAAAGCGTGCAGTGGGGAGTGGCTGGCCTGCTGAGGGACAAGGGCCAGCACAGAGAGGTTTCAGAGGAGACGATGACAGGAGGAAGGAAGTCTTAAGGTGAAATAAAAGGAAATTAATGAAGACATCTGAAGCAGAGCCAATATAACAGCTTAAGACTAGGGTTTTTCTAATGAGATAGAAGATCAGAGAGGGGTAGTATAAGGAAACTATGAGAGTGCATTATCAAAATGCTGGTTACCTTTGGATTTAGCAAAATCTAATCAGAAGTCTGTGTTAAGTAAAAATCCATTACACTAGCAAACAAGCAGATAAAGTTTTTGAACTCAAGGAGTAGTTGGCTGAGGTGCATTCTTGAATGAGTATCTTACTGGCCTGGCAACTTCTTCCAAGTACAGGACTGTTACCATATAATTTTTATGGTATTTTATTTAATTGATCTTCCTATTGGACAGATTCAGGCAAGTGGAGTATCAGAAATACATTTTTTCAGCCCGGGAGAAACATGTCTGTCAATCACATGTGCAGCGGTCTGTGATATCAAAGAAATTACAGCAGTATAATAATAGCTATATCCAAACGGCTGTGAGAAAAGCTCTATTCTGCTACTGTCAGCACGTAAGTAGGTCAAAAAGTGTAATTTGCATTTACTGAATACAGTGTAGGGGATTCATTTTATATGTTCCTTAGTGATAGATCTGAAATACCAGAAAGGGCTTCTGAAAAGCCTGGGTTATGAGAGCTAACTCTAGAACGTGTTTCCAGTTTAGCAACTTCCATGGCAACCAGGAATCCCTTTTAACCTTCAGAAATTCATCTGCCCTACTCCAATCCTGTAAATTTAGCATCCTTCATTTGGGATTGTTCTCTTGGAGGAGAAAATAGTTTTTATTCTGAAAACCAGGGCTTCTGGTATTTGCACAATTCTGAATTCTGTTTTTCCACGAAGATGTGTCATGTTAACTGGCTTCCATTCAGCTCTTTTCTTCAGAAAGTCCTTCCCGAGCAAAGTCCAAACTCAGAGAGGCGCTCTTGCAATACAGCCACTGTGATGACAGTTCAAACATTGTTAAGACAACTTATACCATTATACATACCAATAACTAACATTTCATTTCAACACATCATCAGGTGTGTTTGTCATCAGTATTTATCTTCCATGTGCCATCTCTAGTAAAAATCTCACAATAAGCAGTTTCATATCCTCATCTGGACAGCAAAATATGGCATTACTACAAACAAACAAGCAAAAAAAAAATGCCTTGAATGGTGTCTGAATATTCCTCAGATACAAGGCTTCAGGAAGGAAACAGATTTCCTCATCCTGTTACTGTTCATAAACGGCCAAAATATCAGTCGCTGAACTCTTCCCACACCGAGGGGCTGCACTAGCTTTTAATGTTATTAAGCCAGAAAAGAGAGAATACACTGCACAGCTGGGACCACCAGACTGACACACCAAGAGAGCAGAGAGCGCTCCTCCTCTGAGCAGCAGAAAGGGCCACTGCAGACAGCGAATAGCGCAGCGCTCGGTCACTGCCGCTCAGCTGCTGGAAGCTGAGGCCCTGGCGGAACGGCGTTCGAGCAGCCTTCCTCTTCACTCGAGCTGCAAACATCCCCTGCCAATACTTGAGTGTGCTCTTCAACCAGAAAAAGACCAAACCCCTTCATTTCTAGATAGTACATGAAAACAAGATGGTCACGTAGAAACTGAATCCCATGGGATAGCAATTTTCAGCTGCAGAAAAACAAAATTGCTGTATCTTGAGTCAAACTAATTTTATGTTATAGTTCATCTTATATTTAAACCTAAACATTACATCAGAATCCTTCAGATATGAAATTGAAGTTCTGAGTGTGTGTATCGGTGTCCTTACACAACTGCAGAATTATCTGCTCAATAGTAACTATTAGGGCTGGCTACGTACAAGATATCTTCAAATAAAATGTCAATACCCGACTACAAATACGTTACTTACGTGTTGTTTCTTATTTGCATTGCAACAGCAGACAAAACTTCCATCAAAGTTTGATGCCTGCTGCTGTAAGTGCTGTTTATAGAGCTAATAATATACAAAGTCCTTTTCCTGAATAGTTTACAAGACAGGAAGCAGCATGATCCCTCCGTTTTAGATGTAAAGCCAAGGCACAAACACAGAGACTTACTCTGACAATGTATGCAAAACAGGAGCACTAAGATTAAATGCAGAACTTCGGAAGTTTATTTTTTTAAAGTTGCAGCTTGAAATTATTTAAAACAAGAAAAGACAATCAGCCATACCTAATAAAATTTAAGAAACTGGCTATATCAGATGATATACTTAGTGGAACAATACTTAGTGGAACCAGAATACAAATTCAGAAACCTTTAATCATAAAAAGATTAACTTGGGGAAACTATTTCTAGAGTATAATTAGACAATTTTCCCAGAAGTCTTAATCCCAAGACAGAAATGCTAAATGTTGGCTTTTTCTAAATAAAATATTATCCTTATAACAAGCAGTAGCTAACTGTACATAGGTTCTCCCAATACAATTGTTTAATAATGTTGCTGAAAGGTAATGATGACTGGGTTATTATAGAATGTGTTTTTCACATTCCATCATAAAATCCTTGGACAATAATCACCACAAAATATTTTTGTACACCACCTGTCCTGAATTACTATGTGCAATCTTTGGATCATGCTAACAAAACTGGATCTTCCAATACGAACAGGAGTACAGGACAGCACAGTCCCAATTTCTATTATGTTTTTTTTCGTTGTTACATTAGAGAGAGAGCCAGAAAGTGCTTAGCATTCTTACTCTGCAGTCACTTTGGTGATATGGGAGGATATTCAGAATGGTACGGGACTAAGCTTTATGTTTGTCAAATTATGTTAATGAAGATATCCCAGTGATCTTTGTAATTTTATCAAATACATCTGCTAATTCTGCATTCTTAATATGTGTTTGAATTGCACAGTTCACAAGGCACTGTATGTTTAGGTAACTCTTCTTGACCACCTCTGCTTCCATTTCAGCCAATGAGGAACACAAATACAGGCAGTTACTTCATTTAAGTATAATTTTAATAACACGATACTACATTTTGTAACAGAATATTGACTAAAATTTGCATTCTCCACATGGATCTTGTCTCATGCCAGGCTTTATTCTAAATAATTAAGCTTTCACTAAGACAACTTCAATATATGATTAATGAAAAAAAAATTCTACTACTTCCTCAAAATGTACAGAAATATCTTGCTGTTTCCTGACTCTGGGCTGCTGTGTTATTGTCATGCTCAATAACAAGCTGGCTCAGGGGGCTGGTGGTGCTGCACTGTCACGTACAGCTTGGAAACCTAAACCATTTACTAGCCCTGCTCCGTCTACACTTGAAAGCACAAAGATCTAAGATGATGATCGTGAGAAATAAAACTTCTAAAATAGCATGCAGAATATAAAATTAGGTCCAAAACCACAAAGCAACTGTGACCAACATCAACACAGAGTATATTTCTATCCTCCCACATATTCTTGGGACTTCTTCCAACAGAACTTTGAAGTAACTGCAGACCCCTTGGCATGAGCACCCTCTATTTCACAGGTTGTAACTGCAGCAGCAGCACACAACTTAGCCACTTGGGATTCAGATCTCAATGTTTACAGCTGTGACAGAACTTAAAAAAAAGATTTCCTGTCTGTCGTTCCCACTCTCCCCTGAGAGGATAATTCACAACATAATGTCCCTCAGTCTCTAGGGAATATTACCAGAATAGTGTTTGCATTTAACACTCCTCTAGTCTTCATAATACACAGTCCGTGACACAGCCCTAGCTTCAAGTCCTGAAAGAAAGTACTTCTAGCCCAAAGACTCTAGAACAGCTCTTTTAAAAGATCTGTTCAGCTTTTAAAACTCTCTTCCAAATGAAAGGACAGTTAGACACCAACATACGAATTCCCTCCTCAGGCTGGTCCTCTCTTAACTTCATCTTCCTTCCCCTTTCCTCTGCCTACACTCTCTCTCTCTCTCTCAAAAAAAAAAATCTTTGGATGCAAAGAGAAAGAAATTAAAAGTACAGAGATCTGGTAAGACCACAACTTTCAGGTTTGTTTAGGAGTTATGAGTAGGTGGCAGGCATTAAGACACTACAAAGCCTCTGTCTTTGACAGAAAGTGATGAGATAAACACAGCACTAAGGGATAAATGACACATGTTATTTTAAAGATATCTTTGCAAACTTGCTCTCTTTTATTTTTTCTCCTGCAACATCAATAAAAACTACATATATAAATACCTTTCCACATTTCTGATGCAATGTGTGGAGCCATAGGTGCAACCATAATGCAAAGTGTAGCCAAAGCATCTTCAAATTCTGCACTGTGGAGAATTAGAGGCTGAGAAGCTTGCTAAGCAAAAAAAACAAAAGGAAAAAAAAAGTAAATATATATATACCTTATATACCTGAAGGGGAGAGAGAAGTAGCTTAGTTGAAAATAAAATTCAGTAAAAAACAACACCTATGATCAGAAGAGAATAATTTCATAATCAATTAGAAATCTATGAAAATTAATGGAGGATTAAAATAGAAGCCACTTCAAATCGTAGTCACGGCGTGCTCTCTAACACCACTATAAAAAAGATGCAAACTTGGAAGACCTGACAGATCCTTAGGGTTTTACTCTGGTATCGGGGCCTGCACATAAACCTGTGTGGACGACTGTGTCCCTGAGGAGGATTTAGAATACTGCCATGTCTAGAATTATAATCTTAGATAAAATTAGAGCTATCTGAGAAAAGGTGGAGTATTTGCATAAAAGAGTAATGTTGTGGTAAATGCGATATGTTTTTTATAGGGATAAGGTTTGGTTGTATGGAATCCCAGAGTGGTTTAAGTAAAGCTGAATTTAATGCCAGTGAGGTTTTAGAGCAAGTGAGGCACAGGGAAGAAAAGCACAAAGCAACCTTTTACAGTCACATACTCAGGTTGCTTCAGTAAAGATAATTTTCAGTTTTTTGGAAAAGATGCCCAACTGAGATAATCTGAATCTTAATTCATTTATTTATTGTATCATAATAGAAAGTTGCAGCACTAAAAGCAGCTGAGTAAGCTTTTTCTTTCTTTGCCCCTGTGAGATCGCACCCCGTGATAAGGGCAGTTCATATTCTGTGTTTATTTTGTCATTTGCTTCTCTAAAGAAACAATAGAGAAAAACATCAATATATGTCAGCTAAGGAGAATTATTTGGTGGGTGTGATGGACACTAGTTCCTCTCTACTAGAAACTGTCCAAAATCAGTGATTTGTTTGATGCAGGCTACAGAAGAGCTGTCAGATGGCAACTTACCATGGATACTACTGAGGTCAGTGCGAGCCAGATCTGAGTAAGTTTTAGCAACTACTACCTGTTTCTATTTTTAAATTTCATCCACCTCCCCACTTCCTCCTTTCAAATGGCACCGAAAGCGGAAGTATCAGCATGTTAGAAGGAAATTTATTCTTGAAAGATACTGACGTGAAACAGAAGTGTTAAAACATTTGGCTGGCTGTATGACACTGGTCTTTTAATACTGACTCACCACCATCCACCAGCCCCAAATGCATATGAGTCACTGCGTTGCGCAGAAAAAATTCTCTCTCACTTTCCCAAAACTAGACAGTCTCCCAGACTTACATTATTTCAATGAAACCACTTCTGCCTGACCTACTTTACCTTTTGCTGTGTTCCTTGAATTTGTCAATAATCTCCTTAGAATCTATAGGGTGTAAGGTTGTATTTTAGTAAGAGGTTGGAAAATCCCAATTTTTAATTTGTCTTCTGTTCTAGATCACATATATTTATATGTCTGAAGGACTGCTTAATGAGATGTAAAAGCAGTAACAAAATGTAAAATTTTATGATATTTGACCTACCACCTCTGACAGATAAACAACATAATAATCTTTATTAAAAATACTAAAAACAGAAGCTATACATTTGTTTAAAAAAGGGAGTTTGCAAGCTCTATTTGCAAGCAAATAGCTGAGTGGTGAAAGCAATCTTTGAAGAATACAAGATTATGTGCGATTTTCCATGTAAGGAGTCATTTTTATCAATATTTTTCATAATTCTATAATGTACTACTATATGCAATTCCCTACGCAACTTGTTTAAAATGAAAGTGAACAAAGAACAGAACAAAGCAAAATGTATCCCCTTGAAACTTCAGGATGCAGATGTAAACATCAGAACATATTGGCTCTAATACTTTCAAGCTCTTCCTGGAAAACATAGTACATTCAGGGGTTACGGTGATAGCAGAGTAATTCAATGGAAGTCCACGAGGCCTTGAAGTCAGAGGCCAGAGTAATGACAGTTACTGGCTTTTGGTATGGTAGACTCAGTGCAAGCAGCTCTCGCTTTCTATATAGATATACTGAACAGGGACTGAATACGCATACATGTATGATACACACACATGCACAATTCATATTGCATACTTACATGGAGCACGTTACTGAGGCTCATCAGCCGAGAAATAGCTGCATTGAGCAGATGATCCTTTGTGAAACACTCTGTGACCTGGTTGCATTAGAGAAAAGTTCTGTCACTACTTGCTTCAATTTCTTGAACATGGGATATTGGCATTTAAATGAAACTTATTTTCTGCAAATCAATTTTGAATTGTGAAACATGCCTAGCTTAACTTTCCCATGAATATCATTTCGAGGTCATATCATCTATCGTATTGTATCACATCATATATACAACCACATGCATGAGTGAAAATAAGAATCATGTAAAAATTAATCTGACCTTTGTGGTTTCAAAATTTTTAAAAAAATCAATCAATACCAACTGGAATTGTTTATTAGCAAACACCCTCTATGTCTTTCAGTAAGATATCTTCCTTTTGTCACTATAAATAATGTTCATACTTGTAAATCCAGTAGCATCAATGAAAGCTCTTTCATACATAGCAAGATCACATTTCAAAAGTCTGTTAAAAGACCTAGAAGGAACTTCCCTGGCCATGGAATTTAGATTCTATGTGCAGAAAAATATTTAAAGGTAATCTTACGGGTATTTATGTCTCCTTCTGAGTCTTGCATAATTGAACACGATTGACACTAATCACAGCATGAGACTTAACACAGAACAGGCAGATAATTAATTCAATAACAATAAAAACACTTTAGGATGAGCTAATATACTCCACCAACATTTTTTTTCCACTTCACATGAAGGATACGGCGTTTCTGATAATGAAGTGTGAAACAAGCAGATTTTAAAAGGATGATCTGCATAACTGACCTACAGCTTCATCAATGAAAAACAGAGTTATTCCAAACTCAAACTGAAACCCAGGCAGTTTAATGCCATAGCACCTCATTTAAATGAAACACACAGCAGAGAAACTTTGCCAGTCCAAACCTTACTACTTTGAAAAAGAGACGTGTCCAATGGAACTGACAGGTAAATAATTCCTTATACAGAAAATATTTTGGAGAATATGCTACTCATCTGGGTGAAATGTTTTGCTCCAACAATGCCCTAAGTCAAGTGTGCAGTTTAGCAAAATCAATAACTTAGCTATTTACAAAGTACGTAAGGATTTCTTTTCACCTCAGAAATCACCAGATTCTTCTGCTCCCAGATCTTTCTGGCTTCAGCCTTCTGTTTTGTACTCAGCAGCTCAGGATTGGGCAGGGTTCCCGACATCCTCGCTTCCCTGAGCTTGGTTACTAGGGCCCAGAGACGAGCCTGCCATCTCTGAACACCCGGCATTGCATCAGCTGCATTTAGTGAAGAATTGCAAAAATAAACAGATTTCAGCTGTGAGGAGTGAAGCCAAACAGTTAAAGAGAAGCAGAATGGAAACTGCACCCTGCAGTTAAGCATTAAAAAACAAAAACATACATTGTGCATTAAAAATGTCAATGCAATTAAAATATATTTTAAAATAATGCTATGTTGCTTTAATGGAAAGGAATCAATAATATAAAAGTATTTCTTGCAATGACTTCAGACTATATACATACATACATATATATATATAAAACATTTGCTAAATTTATAAAATATTCCAATGTTATATCAATGTTAAAATGTTTTCATGCCTCTAGAAAACAATCCTTTTAAAAGATTTTCATTCTTTTGAATTCATGGAAGAATATATACATACATATGTGTATATATATGGCTATACAAGCACACAAACACATATATACATACACATATATTTTTTCACATGGAGATTTTTTTTTTCTACACTTACATTTTAAAAACTTCTGTTGCTACAAAGTTGCTCCTGTGCTAATGACTATAGGCCCTGATCCATCGGACCATCTTTCCAATGCAGCCTGGCAACAAGATTTGTATTTATTTTTTGTTTTCAAGAAAAACACATTAGGAAAAAAAGACAATAGAAACAGGCTGACTTACTTTTAACGTCCCACAAAATATCTTGTTCTGGAGGAGCTGCAAACAGAATGTAAAGACGCATGGTGTCGATGCCATACTCCTCCTTCAGTTCCCCAGGGTCTATGCCATTGTGCTTAGATTTGCTCATTTTTTCCCAAGTGACTTCAATTTTACCACCAGTTTTTAGATGAACAGGTTCAGCCCCTAAATATTAACATATACAAAAATATTAAAGTAAATTCTGTTCATTAATAACAGCAAAGGATTTTGTTCTCTAAGCTAGTAAGAGGCAAGAATTCCCATTTGGGGGGAGGGGTGCAAACAGTTTAAAGAGCTTATACAAGTAAAATCCTTTTTCCTTCCAAAAATGTTGTTGCTTTCATATTTCATCACAAATTGCATCCCAGGTTTATAGGTTTCAATTTCAGTAAGCTATCCTGATAAGAAACTGCTTTATGTAGGGAGAGAGACTTATGCATACATAGGTACACCCAAGCAAAGACACATGCCACAGATAAACCTGTATGCTTGTTTTCATGCTGAGTTTGTATGTAGGAGAAGAGTGGTGATAATAAGGTGAGAGGAGTGTTTAAGCGGGGCAAGTATGACCAAGTGTCTCCACTCTGGTCGCTGCAGCCCCTCAGAGGCTGCTGAGCCGCCTCATAGGATGCTTGAAGTGCCAGAACAGCCAGAGAAACACTCCTCCTTTCTTTAGCCATGGTATCTGTGCCCAGCGTCTGCTGGAGATAGCAGCAGCCCTGCTACCTGGTGCAGGGCTGTTTCTGCAGGCTGCCTGCTGGCCCCCCTCGCTCCCCTGAGCAAGCTGCCGAGCCCATCTTAACCAACTGGCCTCCGCTCCCCCGGGCTCGCCTGCACCGAAGTTCAAGCAATGTCACAGGGCTGCTGCTGTGTCTGGGAGCAGTTAAAAGCCACTGGATTAAAGGGGTGACTCTGTATATGGGCTTGGCACTAGGCATACGAATCCAAAGCTCACAGGAGCAGTTTTCTAGTTAAGGTATTACAAGGGTTTGTTTTTCTTGGCTGCGTTTTTCCCGCGCTGACTTGTACATCCTTTTTTACTGAAGCAGCCTCTGACTTACTGGGTGCACCTGCGCTGGTTTCCCCCACATAGCCTCTTACCAGTGAGATCAATCTCCTCCCTCTTCAGATACTGGCCTGTTGCTGGTAATCTGAAGGTCTGATTCTTGATAATACCTTGAACCAACAGCTTATGGAAAGGTTCCCTAAGGAAGGAAGAACAAAGAAACTGGTCTGTCAAAAATAACTGTCAAAAGCTCCTTCTGTGATAAGCCTCAGATGTTGAAGCAATTAGGCGCAATTATTTAATGACAGAAGAATTTTAAGTTGACTATATAAAAATGGTTGTCACCTGTGAAAGTCAGAGTACTTTCTGCATTTATTCATGATGGCAAGTTGACAAGCATAAATATTTATCTGAATCTTGATTCAGCAGAGTTACTCTAACATCATTTTTCAAATAAAAAATTGGATAATACACTAAAGTTTCTTGCCAAACCATGCAAGTTTACTAATATTGAACTAAATCACCATTTGTAAAAATGTTCCAGTGACTGGCCTCAATTTCTTGCAAATGTTTAATTTTAACTCCTCTCCTAGGAGCAGCGTATTTTGAAAAAAGTCCAAATTTCACAGCTCAAATTTCTTATTATGAACTGGAAAGACAGAGTTGCTTGAACACACACAAGCATTCGTATGTCCTGTCCTTTGCAGAACTAAGCCACAAAGACCTAGTTATAAGAAGTACCCTAGTAAACTGCAAGGCTGGAAAGTTCACATATTAGCACACCAGCTTACTTAGTATTTAAAATATTTAAACTTAAGTTTTCTAGTAAAATTTGCATCAGAAAGAATAAGCCAACAGATATGTGCATGACAGAGACAAACAGAGCCTTAAAAGCACCAAAACTAAAGGCAACAGTACACTTGACCAGAAATCAATTCTAAGGAAACACTTCTCTAGTTGACAGATACGCTATGGCTCCCTCCTCCTTTCAGCCATCTTACATTCCTAAGTCACTGATTCAGATGGCTGCCAACATTTTCACTTAAAAAAAGTGAATGCAGCTAAACTCTAGAGAGATTAATTAATCTAGAGATTCAGTGCCCACTCAGTAGGTCAAGAAGGGGAAGAAGTTGTGGTAGCCACTCCAGGGGAGAGGACGAGGCAGACCCAGGGGGTGAAGAGTCCAGGGGATCCTCTCAGGGATCCTCTCGTGCAAAATCCTTCAGGACCCCCATTCTGGAGGACTTGCTGATCAGTGCTGGCTGTTACTGACCTGTGAACCTCCCACATAGGGGTGCTCAACATGAAGCACTCTGAGTGATCCCCTACCTTTCCACTTAAAGAAGCTCCAAATATCTACCAAAACATACACACATACAAAAGGATGCATGACTTTTATTTGCATTTTTTTCAAAAAGCTGTAATAATCCATTCATCTAAAGAGGAAATGGTAAAAAGAGTACTTATATTTTACTTCACATATAAAAAGGCATAATCTAAAACACTACTCTGTTTACTGAAGTTTTATATTACCATATTCTACATTATTATTAAATACAAAATATATGACAATTTATCTCATGATTTAAAACATGGCAATTTAATAATACAGTAAAATTGTTTGATTTATGCATTTTAAATGAATTAATGGTGATACCTTCCAATTGCCATTCTTTAAACACTTTTGGTGACTCTGAACTAAGGAGATATTTGAAAGAAATTGAGATAGGGAAAGCGACAAGCTTCATACTTTATCTTCAGCATGGTCATGCTTGAACAAGAGTTCTCTGCCTTGCATATTTTGCATACTCCTAAATATTAGGCAAGTAATGACACATAGTGAAATCATTTAGTCACCAGGCAGCAGAAGTCTCTACAATACTATGCAGTTTGATCAACAACATGAAGTAAGAGTAACAACCCAGGCATCTCTACATTTTCTGAACAGTATTTCATAGGTTGCCTGAAAAGTTCTGTTGTTCAGAAATAGTGGAACTCAAGGAAATGAGAGTCAAAGTCAAATTTAGAGCATAAAATCAAGAAACAGTATTTTAAAATGAGGTGGCGATGCAGTCCTAAACAATTCCCTTCCGAGTCATCTGTAAAATGACAAATCCTAACCAAAAGCCTGGTCATTGCATCATCAACAAAATGGGTGTAGAAATGCCTTAAGAGACAGCAAGCCTTCTTTTACTCCACAAACTAATGCAATTTCAGAGAGGAATAATGAAAAGATTTTTTTCTCTCATCATTCAGCACTTCAATCTGAGATCTAAAACAGTTATTAAAACAGTTAAATCTGTTGCTATCCAAAAAAATAAAACTAATGAAAGAGCCAAAACATCAAAATCATCCAACACTCCCAAATGGAAGCAATTTTTGAGGGATCACTTATCTTTAACGACAAAGAATTAGTTCAGATCAGATGCCAAGATCTGAAAAGATGAATGTAGGAATGAACATCTCCTATTTTTGTTTATGCTGACAGAGGCTATAAAAACACAATACAAAGTAGATTACCATGTATGGGGGCAAATTAAAAAAAAAATACATGTTCCTAGTGGGAGACCACAGAGGAATGGAGAAATGCTCCAGATGAGAAAGGCAGAGCTTATTTAACATACACAGGTCTCAGAAACAAACAGAACCACAGAACTGTACCCAGTGTTGCGGAACGATTTTGCTAGCGCTGTGATGGCTCCATCTCATGGTCATCTGTCGAGTTGCACATCTCAGAAACCATCAGCTGAGTCAGGAAACTTGAGAATCCTGCACTTGGCTCCACCTGCAACAACCTGGCAATGCTGCAGACAGCCAGCGTGTCAGTGGTCCTTACTTTGGATTTTATACAGTCAATATCTGATGGCTTTTTATTTAAAAGTCAACAGTAGTAGTAAAGTCCTCAAAGAACCTATTGAGGCTCCAACATCCTCCCTCTACAGAATAAACTATTTCTGCCACACAGATATGTTTATTTTTGTAATGCAGCTCCTAATACCGCCTTCTTACTCTACGGATTTGTTCCCAGTCAAAGCTGCTGACTTCATGGCAACAATAAGCCTTTTCACTGCTTTCTGATCCTTCAGGGATTAGAAACATGCTGGCTGCCACTTACATCTTTTCAGCAAACAGAACTGATTACTACAGTCTCGGCAAGAGCTGAATTCGGTATCACTCACACCGGCAATAAAGGGGGAGCAGGCGTTAACGGAGGGCGTCAGCCCATCCACCACAGCAGGTGAAGCGGGAAGACGTGAGGTAGCTGCGGGCCGCAGCGGCCTCCCGGGCCCTTCGCCCGGGGAGGGTGACGAGCAGGAGGGCTGCGGGACTTGAGAAGTAATTCCAGAACAGTTAACGGTCCAGAATATTAACAAAGAACGACATCAACTTGGGCTTGCTCTGCGGTCACGTGTATCAATACCCAGAGGGTGCTATTTGTTCTACCTTGCCAGTGTTAGAGAACATGAGCAGCTACTCCTAACACCTCCACTTCCAAACTGACTCATCAAAAAAAAGTTCCCTCTTCAGGAGAGATTTAAGATATAATGATACCTTTCATATCAATTTTAGATATCTACCAACATTGCATTTTCTATGAAAGTAGTAGATGACTGTAAATGAATGGCTATATTTCTATTATAATGCATATCATATATGAAGAGGACAGAGCAGGTTGCCCTGAACACCAAAACCAAAAAACTTTTGAACAGAGTTCAAAAGAAACTACAAAATTTTGAACTTTTTTCAGTCTCTTTACTATAGTAACAGTCATTAGTACAGAAATAAAGACTACAAGAAAAAAAATCAACGGATTTGAAAGTCAGAGGATAGTCAGCCAAATAATGAAAATTATTATCAAGAGAACCTATCAAAATGAAAGGTAATTACAGATTGGTAGGTGCATCTCAAAATTTGTCATGGCACCTGCTAACATGTAAGTGGTTGCAGCACTCATCAGCTGAGATATAGCAGAGTTTTATTAATTTAATCAGTGAGCAGACAAGAGCTACTAGCACAAGATGTAAAAATGACAAGAGAGGAATGGGTTTTTTAACCTTTCAATAATCTTCCCTTGCAGCTGTGAGTCCTAACTAAACCTGTGGGTTTCTAACAAGGAGCTTCTGGTCACCCTTTTTGGACCCCTCAGACCAGTCCTAGAGCAATTCTAATAGAAGACTGAGCAAAAGCAGCTTCTGATAAATGTTGAAACAAATTTCTAACGTGTGGTAAAATGTATAGGGGACTTTGCAATTTCTATACAAAACCAAAATCTTAATTTGACTTCACTGCTCAGAAGCATCTAATGCTTCAACTTGTGCAGAGCTAAAGCAAGCAATTTTCTGCGTGATGATGTATTTGTTACAGTCATCCCACATTCTGAACAAGCAGCACAAACAACAGATCCTGAGGGCAACACTGTAATGTGCAGCGGTTCCGAAGATTATGTATCACCTCAGAGGGATTCTCTACAATCTTGTAAACTACTTTTACAGAAAGCAGTTTTGAATTCCTCCGCTTTGTCAGTAGACATAGTCAATATTTCCTGTGTACCTTTAAACCTTTTTTTTTTCCTGTAATTTACCCTACTCAGACCAGTCTACGGCACACAGCTTTCACGGTGCAGCTCCGTCACAGCAGACTGAACAATACAGGTTCCAAATTAACATTGCTATAAGTATCATCCAGTTTTAAAATACTGCAGGCTGGAAGGGATCTTTGGAGGCCATTTTAGTGTAAGCTCAGAACTGCACAGAACTGAAGTCCAAGTTAGAGCAGGACGAGATCCACCCTGAGGAGGGGCTGAAAATACCAGTCATCGATGGAGATCCCTTGTTTTCTCTGGTCCAACTGTTCCAGTGTTGGACAACCTTGAAACACTTTTTTTTTTCCTTCTATCCAGTTGGACCTCGCTGCAATCTGTGCCTGATGCCCCTTGCCCTTTTCCTGTATATTTCTGAGATAAGTCTTGTTCTGTTTTCTCTCTACTGCTCCTTAAGGTAAGATTTAATAGACTGCAGTCAAATCCCCTCTGTAGCTTTCTCTTCTCCAGGTGAACACGCACACTCCCTTAGCCTCTCCTTGCAGGGCACATGATCCAGCCCCCAACCATCTCTGTGTTCCTGTGCTGGACCCCTTCTAGTTTGACATTGCCTGTCACAACAGGCCCCAAAACTGGATGCCATATTCCAGCTGTGACTTCATCAGCAATAAGCAGAGGAGAATAACCACTCCTGGCCCTATTTTGCTCATGCAGTGCAATATACTGTCATATGTACTGCTAATGTTCAACTGGCTGTCCACCAGGATGGCCAAAGCCCTTCTCTGCTCCCCACCAGCCTCTGCTGCTGCAGGAGGTTAGTGCATTCCAGGTACAGGATTCTGCATTTGGCTTTGATCGACTTCACAAGATCATTGCCAGCACTTGCACAAGCTGGAGGAGCAAGCCCAACGTCCTTAGAATGGCAGCGCCGTCACCCAGCGCATCCGGGCTCCCTGGAACACGATGTTCCCTGAGCTCATGCAGGCTGCATGTTGCTGCACTGCCCAGGTTGTTGATAAAAATGCTAAATCCCAACTGGTCTCAGCAGATGAATACCTCTGGTAACTGGCTGTCAGTCAGACTTTGAACCACTCCCAACTATCTTTGAGTCCAATAGTCCAGACAATTTTTCCACCTTCTTTGCGGTTCACCCATTCAGTCTGTTTCTCCCCAGTCTAGCTGCAAGGATGCCATGGGAGACGTTCTCAAAAGTCTCACTAAAATCAAGATAAATCACATGTGCTGCCTTCCTCTGATCCACACAGCAAGCCATCTCACCATTGAAGATGGTCAGGTTAAGTCAGACACAATTTCCCATTTTTAAACCTGAGGTGGCAATTTCCAGACACCTTCTTGTCCTTCACATGTCTGAAAATTACTTCCAGGTGCACTTATGTCATAGTCTTCCTAGAGGTCAGGCTGACCAGCTTGTAAGTACATTGGATCATTCTCCTTGCCTTTTCTTTAAGACAAACAAAACATTTTTCCAGTCATCAGGAACACTCCTAGATTATCACTACCACTGAAAAAAATGCTCACTCAGGGGGCCTCATAACTCACAGATGAGTAGCATCTTACCTAAAGGCAGCTTATTTTTTTTCCCTAGAAATATGTAATACTTACTTGTGTTTGGCCATCTTCAGATCATGGCAAAAATGACTGAGAAATCTAGCATAAAATAAGTGCATAACTGCATGCTCCTTTCCTCCGATGTACAAATCCACAGGCATCCAATAGTCAGCCAAGTCTTTGTTAAAGGGCCTGAAAAAACACAATAATAGGAAAAAAGATAGAGAAAACAGAGCATAGAAAAGAAAGATCAGCTCTGAGTTAGCTCATCATACTTGACACTGAGAGCGATACAGCTAATGAAACTTTTAAGAGCAGATGTTTTTAATTTTTAAGTGATATGCTCACTAAATTATATACAAATAATACACTGAGAAACAGATCCACGAAAATGATTGTCATATATTTTAGATGTGCAACTAAAATTTCACCTGGCTACTTAAGAAAGTGATGAAAATATCTGCATGCTCTTTAAAGCATTTTTTCAGAAATAACCTGTAGTTATAATTTGAATTTCCTAGTACTGACAGATATCAAATTTTGCCTTAAAATACACTACTATTAAAATAAATAATAATAAAAAACTCTAGAAGTATATTACTATTAAAGAAAATGAAAGATGACTATTTAAAAACATCCTATTTTTTTAAACTGGAGCTTTGCATGGTGGCCATGAGGGGGCAATGGAAGATCTTGTTATAACTCTTGCCTTCCGGGAGAGGCAGACGGGCCTTTGTACTCAAATTGAAAGATGCTCTGTGGATTTACAATAAACACTGGATGGCATTTAGAGCATTACTAAGTTATTGAAAGCAACCTGCACAGCTTCTTAGTGTTGCTCACTACTTCATTAAATATGGTTATGTCTCATGTAGCAACCTACTGCCTGCAAAATGCCGTTTCAATGTATGCTCTGTTTCCTCAACATTCATTTTATGTCCCTAGTCTAACATATTTACGTGTTTCATTAGCTTGTTTGATTATTTCATCTGTAGTTTTTACTTTGGTAACACTTCTTTTTTTCTTCACAGACGAACCCAGAAGCAAACAGTGGGTCTGAAACTCATGCCATTCATGGAAAGAGCTAAAACCCACTGTTTTACACAGGGTTACAAAAACTAGTAGAAAACATCTCTCAGATTCTAGGTGTTTTAAAAATGAAGTATAGAAATAAAGGGTGTAGGTATATGCAGCTCAGCTTAAAAAAAAAAGAAAGAAAATACCCACTGATCTAGTATAAAAGGCCCAAAAACTAGTAGAAAACGTCCCACTGATCTAGTCCCACTAGTAGAAATACCCACTGATCTAGTATAAAAGGCTAAAATTCTTATTTCAGCATAAAACGGATTTAGTTACACTGAGCTTGTTACTTTGGCAGCTTGACATTACACCTGACTGTGTCATCTTCAGCTTCTCGTCCACGCACAAGAATATATTTCAAACTGTCACTGGGGAGAAAGCATTCTGCATAATGTAAGACTATTAAAAACATATTAAAGTTAATAGGAGATGTGTCCAGAGAAGAACTGTCTTATCTCACACAAAAGCAGGCAGCTGAAACAGACATACAATTCACCTTCTTGATGTGGCCTTCTCAGTGAAGTGTCTATGTATATGAATAAGTGCTACTCGGAGGTCGCAAACTCAAAATGGAAATGTGGATAATTAACTAAAATAGAATAGATCCTACCAGACTCATTCACCAACACGAAGCTCGTTACATACGATTCTCTGGGAAGCCTGAGGCCATTTACTAGACATTTTCTATTTATCTGTGCAATAACTGAATAACCTAGAGGAAACACCCATCTAATTTACTGCCATCATACTGTCCTGCACATTGGCTCTCAACATGCCCAAGAAACAGTAATGTCAGTTCACCCAGTGACTGTAGGCAGTGATCTAATCTGGTCAGTGTATATAAAATGCTTTTGGACAACTGAGTCAGCCTCTGTGCAGGCTGCTTTAATGCTGTGTTTGACACAACACCTCAAGGCACAATCAGCAGTGCTAATGCAGGCAGACTATGAAGCAGGTAAATAACTAAATAACTGCATATATCTTCCCAAACTCTTCATGCTGCAGCCACTAATACACAGCACAAGAAGAATCTCCTTTTATTAATTATGCATATGGCCAAAGTAACAACACAGCAGGAACCTAACCCAATGCCACTTCACTTTAGGTCTGAACAGGATGAAGCAGCAAGATTTATGAGAATGCTAAAAGAGCTAACTGAAGATGTCATTCTGGGCAGCTGGATGTTGTACCCAAATCCTTCACTTACCAGTGCAAAAGCACTGTATTTCTACACACTGAAATACTCAGTCTGTTACTGGGAAGGCTACACACAATGTCGCACATAAAACAATGTCAGTGACGAGAGTTATGGTAGGTTGCTATTTTTATTTCTGGTGGTATCCTCCAGTCATATATTCCGTTAGCTTCTCAGCTGAACTCTTCCTCCAGGCCCTGCCTCATAATGGCCTTTCAGGCGAGCTCCTGCCCCTTGCCTTGCAGCTCCTCCACTTAGGCAGTTGTATCTACACGCTCTGCCTTCATGGATCTCCTGGACTGGGCACAACCAAATGCCATAATCTTACAGCAACATCTAGTCCACTCTGTGCTGAGCTCTGGGACAGACAGCAGGTGCAAAATCAGGAAAGCACATGGATTTACACTGCCCTTCTGCAAAGGCAGGTGCTAAAAGCACCAGAGTATCCAGGCTCTTTCTTCCTTCTTTTCCCCTCTATTCTGTAAAGCAGATTTGGCCACCACAAGGCCCTGCCTCCGGAGCCCTTACCGCTCAGCATTGAGAGGGTCAGTGTATCTCAGGTAATACCAAGCAGAGTCAACAAATGTATCCATGGTATCAGTTTCTCGCCTTGCAGCTGCCTTGCACCTGAGCAAGAGAGAAGGAAGGACAAGATTATTTTTAGACAAGCGCCAAGCTTGGCACAAAAACAAACAGGTAGAGAGTGGCCATGAAGAAATTCACACTGGAAAATGGAAGCCTGAACAGTTACAGCAGTGGTATGTTGGAAAAAGACCCGACATAAGTAACAGGGCCAACTCTTCTTCTCTTTCCCAAATAAACCAAATCAAAACACAAAACAAAAAGAAAAAAAAAAGAAAAAGAAAAAAAGAAAAAAAAAGCCTAAATGGCTTTAAGATGAAGCAACAGTGACAAACTGCACAACACAGGGCTGCCCTCTCAATCATCCGCTCCTGGAATTTAGAATTGCCATTACAAAAAAAATCAACTCTCTGCTTCCTATTTTGAAAAAAAAAAAAAAAAAAAAGGAAAGAAAACTACAAATCATAGAGCCAGTCTCAAAGCCCAGACAAACATGCCTTGCCATAAGGTCGATGGGCACTGAATATATGTATCAGACACTCTGTGTAGCATCAGACAAGCATTCAGCAGAAGGAGCAGGATAGTTGCCTCTCACTGACTATACTCACAAAAAGGTCTTTGAAGATTTCATTTCTAACCCCTCCCCCACAAAAAAAATCAACTTTGCTTAATTTCAGCTTCTACTGAGATACTGAGATGTATCAGATCTTTTCTCGACCTTGTAGCACAATTTTAATTTGTGATTCCTGCAAATCAATCTTTGCTAGGAGTTACACTGGCAGCACTGATAAACGCAGCTTTAAAATGAGTTGAGAAGCTTAAGTTATTTTCCTCTAATTTCTCCCTGAATATAAATTATTTGCTTAATGGAGCCTATAATCCCATTAGCAACATTTTATTTATTGTAAATGGTCCTTCTTTAAAACTCTAACAGTTAAAACAATGCACACTTGCACATAACATGTAATAAAGAGTGGCCACTGGCCATTTAATTTAGTCAGGTCACTGCTTTTTTTTTTTTTAACTAAACCTAACATTTTTGTTTATTAATGCTTCCTTGTATCAGTCACACTTTAGAATATGCTACTACATAATTTTAACAATCATATCTGATAAGAATTTTTCTATACAATATATGAAAGTAAATGTATGCTTTAGTAATATACATGCCATTAACTAAGGTAAAAAATAGGTATTTCCAGAGAAGCCCAGAACTCCTGTGGCTAAGCTGCCTCACTAGGATTGCAAAGCAGACTAACATGCTAACCTGCAAGTGCTAGAAGGAAGTGATGATGAGACGTTATGAAAGTGCTGCATTCTGCAGGAGAGCCCCAGGGCCATTTATGGGTCTGATTCTCCTGCCTGGCAGCCCGGCAGCGTCTTTCCCACGTGGTCACTGCTGGAAGTGATGTTTGGTTCTCCTGCTGAGGAAAATCTTACCTGGGATAACCCATGCCCTGCTAGCTCCCTACACAGAACTTGCACACAAGTTCTAGTGTACTACAGGGTCTGTAAGTGGCCCTCACGACCAGACATCTCATCTCTATAATGGGTTTCTCCCTAGCTGTATGATTCAGGCTGCTTGTTTTCTTAAACAGCTGGGCAAGGTTGACAAGATGTATATATTTATTTCCTCCTTTAATCTGAATTATATGCTGTCACATGTAATATACAGTCCATGTGATGCTTCATGATAAAGAATTATATAGCAGAGCACACAATTTTGCTGGGCTATGTTAAGGAAATTAGCAAGATACTAGGTTCCTTACCATGAAGAAATAATTCATTAGTCATCTTAGGCTTTAAAAGCAACTATGCTGGGTCAAACCAAACATCCTTCTAGCACAGCATGCTGTCTTAGGGCAATCAGTCATCAACGCTTCTGGAATGAGCCCAAGAAACCAGCAAGCACACAGGGATCCCTCCCAGTCCGCAGCAAGTGCAGCATTTGCTCACCTTGGACAGGAACAGTTCACCCACTCCGGAACATTTTCTAAAGGTGAGGCTCCTTTTCCTGTAAAGGTGGTTACCTTGGGTAATACCACAGGTAAGTCCTCATAAGGCACAGGGACAGTGCCACATGCCTGGCAGTGAATGACAGGAATTGGTGTTCCCCAGTACCGCTGTCGAGATATCAGCCAGTCTCTTAATTTGTCACTCGTTAGATCTCCACCTAGTCCTTTACTTTTGGCCTGCTGCGTAAGAGCTTTTAAAGCCTCCTGTCGAGTCATGCCTGTGAACTGAGGGGGCAAGGGGAGGAGAAAGAGACAGACAGACAGAATTGGAAAAAAGAAAGAAAAAGTCATACTTGCTACTGGTAAAAATGCAAAATAAAGTCATAAAAGTCTTAAATGCCATTTCTCAGTGACAAAGTTTGAGTCTAATATTAATTTTACCTTTCTCACTGTTTAGCATCCTCCTATCCAAAAGCCTATGCACATACCAGTCAATGCACTTATTTAAACTCTCTTGTTTTAAGGATAATCTCTCTGATGGCCTGAGCAGGGCTAAGAAAGCACCCTTGTAGGCCCCTTCAGCTCTTATTTGCAAATATCTGCATTTATTGCTGATACTTTATCAAGCAGCTGTATGCCAAAACTTCCAGTACATCACCAAAGCAGGACATCTGCTCATTTCCTCAGACACTGAGGAAATGTGGATGGCAGACCAGCTTTCCATCTCCTCTGTGTCTGTTCGAGCCTAGTCTATTCCTTACTTCCAAATACCTTTTAACCACTCAGATTCTACCTATCATGTAGTAACAGACATAAAGGTCATAATCTGTCAAACAACACCTTTGCTGGGGCTATAACACTCTATACAATTTGATTTAAGGATAAGATTTCTATGGCACTTACAGCAGGTATGTTTTTACCAGAAAGGCTTACAATATATTTCAATGCATATGTGAAAAAGGACAAATTTAGCTTAAAAATATACACAGATAATGAAAGCAAGAATCAACTTCTAACATGGAATTAATTATTTACTTTCCATTATAAAACTCGGACAAATACCACATTTCCTTCTCATGTACAAAAGATTAAGACTGGGAAAAAGCTCATTTTATTGCTATAGAAGAACTAATACAGTTTATCATTAAAGTATTCCTAGAAATTTCATAGCATTGACCTTGCTTAGGTCTTAAGAAAACCTTTTAAAAAAATCCAAAATCCCTGAAAACATGCGAAGTATTTGGCATTTTCCGGAAAGCAATTTTAGTTTACATTGCTATTTTATGTTGGAGAGGAACTCAGTATTTGTGCACCTACCTCACCAGAATTAATGACTTTTTCCAAGCCATTTGGCAATGTCTCAATCACTTTGGTGAAAGAAATACCCAGATTCTTAGCTACTGCAGCATCTTCTGTACTAGTACTAGGAATTCCTAGAAAGGAAAAAGAAAAATAGCCCTGGAATTGAATGACATGGCTATTGATCATTTGAAGGTACAGTATTTTCTTTCTATGTCACTCCACTCTTTATAATATTTTATATTAGCTCCATAAAGTTTAAAAATTTAAGATCAGTAAAAATATCCTTGAAGAAGTGGAAGTGAAGAGGCAATAATTATAAATATATGTTTCATCGATATCTCAGTAATCCAAATGTCAATGTCATATTGCGAGAGCCTGAAAATTACTTGGCTCAGAAAAAGTGTAAAAAGAAAACAATAAATTTTAGATAAAGAGAAAAAAAAACACACCTTTTTTAAGAGTAAATTTAATCACTTTCTAAATTCCTAACTTATTAAAATGCATCAGAATACTACAGTATCTAACGTTACTATCCCTTTAATTTCTTATGAAGGACATGATTTGTTTTTAATCTGACAAAAAATCCATCAAAAATATAAATTTTCTTCTCAGAATACAGATACTGAGAACACTTTGTAATAAGTAACACAGAAGTCAGAATAATTTAAGGCTCCTGATGCTGTCTTTCCCTTTGCATCTTATTATTTGGGACAGTCATACATTTTGAATACAAGTTCCTCTTCCAACCCACACAGACTTCTTTTTATTACAGCAATTTACCAGCATCATAAAATGACACATTATCTTTAAATATTCCTCATTCATATTGATAGATGCTGACATCTTCCCCCTAACTTTGCTGCATGCAGTTTAGTAGTTACTGTGCTGCACTTTGCAGGGCTACCTTTCAGGGGCAAAGTAAGAAATCTGTTAACTTTATGTATTTATTATACAGTTGTACTCTGAAGTATCACTGAGATACTAGCAGATCTATCAGGTCACAGGGAGATGCATCTTTATGCATACTTTTTTGGGGAGGGATAATTTATTTAATACTTTGGATATTCTTGCACTTTCATTATCACCTTTAAAAGGCAAAGAAATATTTAAAAATAACCCAATGCAAGTAATAGTTCGGTTAAAGCTATAGACCAAAAACTCTCAAAAATATTGCTGAGCACTCTAGGATTATTAACATACAAATGACATTCAAAGTTGGTTTAACAAGCATCTTTGTTCAAGCAATGAAATGTCTGCTGCTACTGTAAATATATTAACTCTGTTAATACATGGAAGTTTGGAAGCAGATAGCAAATGAAAACCAAACCAGACTCCTCCACCACAAATAACTCCCTCCCTAGCAAAGTAAAGAATCACCATTAAATCTTTTGAGCAGATGTACTCTCTTGCCATTTAAAGGCCCTATTATACGATAATATATGTATCTTAATTTGTCAGAGAGCTCTGCAATCTGCAACAGGTGGCTTCACAATATGCTCTACAAATGGAAAAAGCAGACTCCCCTTTTTGGCCTCCCTTGCTTTTGCAAAAATGTTGCTATTAATGCACTTCTGCAGAACTCAACAGCTGGCAGCCCGAACTTCCTGGGAAGATCTGGGCCGTTTCCAACAGACATAAGGCCAAGGCACATGCCAGTGAACAACATGGAGGTTTTTCACGAAAAAATAAGATTAGGCATCTCAATTATTTGGCTCCTCTTACTCCAGAAGAAGTTCTGGTTCTCAAAGCAGTTTGGTCCTGAAGAGTGAGATGCAGGCACATTACAAGCAAGGTCTGCCATCCAGCCCTGAGGGGGTCAGGCAGGATATTTTTTGCACATTACTCAGTAAAAGCAGCACCAAGAAAAATGGCACAAAGACCCTGCAGTAGCTCTGCAGAATCAGCTGGTTTTATTCAGTTCTATTTGGGCTCAGAAAAGCCAACATTGGCAATAATGTAGAGGAGGCTGTAGCACTCCCAGAGTAGGAAAGAAGTGAGACAGTGGCACCAAAAAGTGACTGAAAGAATAAGGAAGACAGTGGAATGGGTTATGAAGAGATAAAGAACTTATCAGTATGCGTATAGAACGCTGACTGCTTATTTCATCTGAGATGAGACCACAACAACAACAACTACTGCTACTACTAGGAATTAATAAATTATAATAATAAATATGGGAATACTTTCTTTAGAGATAAGCTCCAAGACAACTTGTCAAGCCTAACTGAAAAGAATTCCTACATGCAGTGAATCACTTCACTGATCTCAACACAATATAAACAGGAAAGAATCACATCTGGAAGTTTAGGGCATTAAACTACAAAAAAAATGTCTGAAACATAGTTCTCTAACTGTGCATATGATTTATGTTCACTACAAACATCCTACAAGTTTGGGACTCTTGGAAAATATTTATGTCAAACACTGGAAGAGTTCTAGTCTGACCAAGGACAGTAAAAGACCTCCAAATGCACACATGCAATATGTGATCAATCCTCACAAGATAGAGATTCTTAAGACAACTTCTCCTCAAATTTACTAACATTATAATATCTTTATTAAAATCTATCATCCTGCAAATCTCCTCCCAGATTCTACATAGCTACTTCTCCTTTCCTTCTTCGTTGATTAAGAACAGTGTAGTACCAAAGTCCAGAAAAAAAAGCCATTTAATTCCAAGATTTATCACGATAGCCTCCGGTACTCCAACACAGTTAACTGAAAACCAGACTATTCCATTTACACATCAAGTGTCACACACCTATTTTAGTATCGATGAAACTCTCAAAATCTGGTTTTGCTGAGATGACGACAGGAATCTCCTGATTGGTAAGCAAATTCACAGCTGTCACTGAAGTAAGGCAATCTAAAATTAAACACAAAGATAACAAAAGTACAATATGACAGTAATAAGAATATTGCTTAATACGAAAAGAAAATCTCAGTATATCTTAAACTTCATGAAGTTTAGATTACAGCTTGTTTAAATAAGAAAGAAAAACAAAAACCAATCATATTTTAAGAAACTGGGAGGTATTAAAAACTTCGGCAAGCCTGACTGAAAAATAATTGTAATTAAAAAAAAAAAAGTAACAAACAGAGGGAGGTTTGGATTGTAATAAAAACCCTGAAGTCCTCAACATAAATGAAGGACTGCCATAAAATGGTATGAACTGGTGCTAATAAAGTCGGAAAATAAGCAGCCCTGATTTATATACTGAGAAACACAAACACAGAACTAAGCAAAACAAAACCCCAGTGATTCAGACAGAATTGAAAAGGAGCTATATACTATGCTTATACACAGAGCATGAGAAATACTGGTTTTTGTAGGAAAAAAAAAAAGAATGGATATTCATATCTTATCCATAACTTATGGATTTCTAAAGAAAACACTGATATTGATATCAGAGGTTGTCTTGCATCACTATCCTTGAAACCATAGAAAAGGGTAAGGATTTTGATAATCTGAAACTGATTTATATTTTGTAGCTTTGAGCTTGAAAAGAAGAAAACCCAACCTGAACCCTCCTAAGTTTTGATGATTGAAAACCCTTGTCTCAACTGGGAACTGTTTCTAACTTTTTAGCACTTTTAAGCTAAAAGCAGCTTCAAAACCATAAGCTAATGATTCTTTGGAAAATGAGCTGCGTGTGTAACTGCTGCACATTACACTATGCAAGGGAACAGAAAGCAAGCTCTTCAGTGAGAGACTCTGTGGCAAGATATGTACCCTTTGACAAATCAGAGGTCAGGATCAAGTCAAAATATAAAAAGTCTCAATTTTAAAAATACAATTTTACAGACACACATAGTAAGATAAACCAATTCTTATTTTACAAGGATAAGGGACAAATATGATATTTCTAGGACCTGACTCTAGATTATAATAATTAAAATACAGATCACTATGAGCTTTCTTCTGCCTGTCTTCATAATTAAGCTAAGCAGAACCTCAGGCTTGTACTGTTATGCACGTAATGTCTGCTTGAAGTAAAATTAAAAAATTTCAGAGAATAGGATTAATGCATCTTATCTGCCTTATGAACACAAATTCTATATTTATTTTTGACATATTTTTTCAAATTTTCTCTGAGATATTCATTTTGATTCTGTACTGTCAATAATCTGGAGAAAATTTCTTCTGTTCAAACCACTGCACAGAGCTTTCGTTCTCTATTTAAGAAAGTAGAAAAGGAATCATTTTGCTCTTTGAAAGCATCTAAGCAAAAAGCCTCATGAATAGAAAACTGAGTAGGTAGGACAGCCTGCTTTTAAAAATAACTTTGCTCTTTCTTCAGCAAAAACATCAGGTTTATGCTGAACCTCGAACAACAGTTCTTCAGTTTATGAGACACTCCTTCCTTTGCTCATACCATTATTATTATAACTGCAAAGAGAGAATATTGTAACTACAAACACAAAGGGAGGGAGTTGCTCAGCATTGGAATGACCTAACAAACAATGTAAGGGTTAAACCTTTACCTCAGATGTCTCACACTGACAAAACTGGTAGACTTACCAGATTGTAAATAAATATACTGTATTTCGATAATTTAAAAATTTAATGTTTGAAAACTGATTGCTCACCCTCTATTTAAATGATAATAGCTTACAATACAGAACTGTGCTCCAAGAATACAGGTATTAGAACTTTCAGTTACTTTGCCATATTACTTCTTTTTGTCTGCTAGAAAACATCTAGACACATCTTCCTAACTATTTAAATGAGAACAGACAACAAAGAAAAGGAGTTAAGAGATTATCTGAGCTGAAAAGAGAACAATTAAAAAGTAAAATAAATTTTCATATCACTGTGAATTTAAAAAAAATGGTTAATAGTGAAACTATAGTCTTTTCAAGGCAATTCTGAGTATTTTTTGGCTTGAATACCATCACTCATGGCATTCACATATACCATGGCTGAAATGGCTGTGTGAAATTTCACATGCAAATTCTATTCCTATAGGTTATCTTCTTTGGAAAATATTAGTCTGTTCCTTTGAAATGCTTGAATAATACACAATCAAATTATCAGCTTATTTCAACTGCAGAATATAAATATATAAATACATTCACCCATCCCAGGAGTACACAGCTATATGAGACTTAAGATTCTGGAATTGTTTCCACTTGGAAGCCTTTTATTCAGTGTATTCTGGCTGACATCATTCTGGTTGAAAGTTTCTTGATTTCACTCAAACGAAAGGTAAAGTCCGTCATTAACAGAACAAAAAAGCTTTCAATTATTTCCACGTTAAAAAAAAAATCCCTTGCTTTGCACTTGTGCACTTTGGCATAAAGCACAAGATTCAACAAAGATGCAGGTGCTTCCACGGATGTGCCTTTCTCGGGGCTTGTACACTGATCTGGCAGAATGGTAGGAGCTGTAATTTGTTCCTTTATTTCTTAATAAAAATTCTCCAAGTCATTGCTCTCCCTCCTTCTGGGACAAGGGCTCTACATATTCAACACATTCAAGCTCCGTTTTTTCCTGCTACCAAGGAAAATGATTTGTCTAGATTACAGAAATGAATCACTCAAAAATAAAGCAGGTTCTGTGTAAGCAGAGTATTTTTCCTCAAGATTCCTGCTTTTTGCTCTTGACACGGGATGCTATATACATGATGAAACCACCTAACAAATCTTAAATAACAGCCTTAAGAAAAGATATATGCATACACTATATCTTGTATCTATTCTTGTAATTTTCTGGACTTCCAAATGACAAAAATGAGTAGGACAGGGCCACTCAGTGCAGGCAGACCACTACCAGTCACCAGCAATTAAAGAAACCAATTACCATTACCTTATTTGTAACTTCTGTGCAAGACAGTGCCTGCCATAATGGCCATATTGGCTACTCTGAATTCACTCTACTGGAACCATATATAAACAGCAGGATCTGTACAGCAGAGAATTATTTGCTATATATCAGTGATCTACTCAGCTATGTATCAATGATCTCTTCCCCTCGCTATTGTCCCTTGATGGGATGAGATCATTGTTGGTACAAGAGCTGGTGCTGCCATCTCTGTTCTAATGACATACTCCCTACAGTGGAGAAATTTCCCAGTGAATTCCCACAGTCAGTGTTTGAATATTCACTTCCACTGCATAAGAAAATGATAATCTGGGTCATTACTTTGCAAACTGTAAAGTATGAGGTTGAACGTAGTCCCCATTACCCTCTTCTGAAGGCACGACAAGCTGGAGTGCTACTACTTGACATGTGCAAGAATCAAAAGGACCTGCTCCCTCTCAAGAGCAATGTTGTGCTCAGCTGGGCACACATTTTCTGAACATAATTCTCTAAAGTTGTTTCAGTCTTACAACAAAATGCAGTCTAAGAAAAATATCACCTTTCCCTTGGATGAACTCCCTCTGAAAGACTTCCTTTAGGCTGCTATTCCCATGCAGCAGTCTGTGATCTGGTAAGATATATAAATGGGAAGCTCCATAAATGGCTTCAGGCGTGTAGGTGTAGGCTGCTATCTTCTCTCCTGTTATTTTACCATTAACCTAATAAAGAAAAGAAAATATCCCAGATGAGTTTATACTTTTTCTCCATTAGAAGTGCAGCCCTTCTCTTAGAAGGAGATTTTTCCATACAAGTTTTGATACAGATTTTCAGAAGCAAAGGATAAAAACAATTTACCTAACAAAATTTAAGCTGTTTCAATTTAAGGTTCTCAGAAATTCAGATTTAAAATAATAAACTGCTTTTCAGATATTGGGCCAGTGCAAACAGACACCATAAAGCTCCGAAGCACGAGGGTTGAACTGCTTAGAGTCTCTGAAAATCTCTTTTGCCACTACCACATCTGAGATGACTTCTCATCAGAAGGACTTCAGACCTTCTCATTGCTTTTTAGATAATTTTACTCTTCTTAAGGCCTCAGTCTGCTGTGCAGAGAGATGCCGGCCAGAGCTCGGCACTCCTCTCCCAAATATCCTTGTTTTCGGGGATTCTCATGAGCTGCCAAGTGCTTTGGCCCTACCACAGCTGTGGACCCGAACACCCCCCTGCGCCACGCGCTCCTTCCCCTTGTGTCAGCAACGCTGGAACTCGGTGAGTTACCTTTAGCAGGAAGTCGAGGAAGCACCCAGAACAGTCGCCTATCCAATTTGCTTGCATTTCTTTTATACCATACCACTCAGGGAGGTCAGACAAAGCATCAAACATAGCCTAAGAAAATGAAATGACAAAAAAAAAAAAAAAGAATTGCGACATTTAACTTTTGTAAACATATAAATGAACACGTTCAATCACAACCAGCAGCAAAATGATGAGGTGCTGAGAAGAAGCAGAGGAAGAGGCATTTTTGTATTGGTGCTGCCTCAAATTCATCTCCTCAAGAACAAAATTTACATGGCACAAGACACAGGAATGAATGTCTCTAACAGAGACTCTATGGTTATTAAGAGACCTTCTTTAGCTGACATTATCCCATAAAAATAATAATAAAAAATAATAGGAATAAAGGTATATTATTAAGGTATCATATTAAATTCAAAATGTAAATTTATTACATGAGCTTTTAAATAGGCAGTAAAGAATAAATTAAGTGCTGGCTCCCTCGTTGTCCATTACGTCCTACTCTCCACTATAGCCAATCTGTACCTTATATGTACAGTTATACTCAGCAAGGAATATATCCATATATTAATGCATTTTCTGATATATGGCATTGGCAGCACAACGAAGAACTATTCCAAGTACTTTGTCTAAACAATTTAAAAATATATTTTAACGAAAGAAAATACAAAAATAAAAGGAGAAGAGGTACAACAAGGAGAGAGAATAACAACTCAAAGCTAATCTCAGTTTTCACTTTGCATACGTCACATTTTTGTTATGAATACTCCAAGACTGTCCAAAATCTTTACTTTGGCAGAAATACAACCAGAGGCATGAGTCACTCAGACAGATGGCAGATATGCTGAACAATTACAGTTAAAAATCTAAGAATAAGGCAACATGTTGAGCTATTTTTCCTTTATCTGTACAGCTCCAACATTGAATGTGCAACTGTGTATTATTTCATTAACTTCTAACAACCTGCAAGGATAGGCAGCACCTATTAGGCTCCACACCTAAACTAAGTAGTGGGAGGTTAGAAACTTACTGAATACACATTTTTTGAACTTTTACATTTAAACTACATGATAAAATATTTTCAATACGAGCTGCATAGAAGATGTTACAAGGATTAAATGCTGGTCATGTCTCTGTCGAACGTCGATCATTCCAAATATAATAAAATGTATGCCATTCATAAGTCATAGCATTACACCACTTGGGATTATTATTGCTTTTTTATATCCTTAAGAAACAATTTCACTTTCTAATGATTTATATACACAAGAATGGTGAGGATTTAAATAATATTGCAACTTGGATCAAACTGGGTGCACAGCTGCAAGTGCCCTGCACCACAGAGGATTCCAAATTGCCATCATTTTCATTAAATTTAGTCCCAGAGACTAGCGAGCTTTCCCTGCCACGAATAATCCATGTACACACCTACCGTACAGCTACCAAAGAAAAAAGAACTGGATATACACCCAATAATTAGGCATATTCTTTGAACAAGATTTATGCATTATAAAAGTATGAAATTGTGTCAAGATACACAGACTGGCCAAACATATTAGCAGACTTTTATAAAATCCCCTGCTTGGCTCTTCATTCCAATCTACATTACATTATCCTGGCAGAGGCAACGCAATGTGCATGTGCTTTACTGACATTACAAAATCCACAGCCTCCTGCCAAAATTTGCTTTGCAAAACTCGCAAGAGATTCTTCACTGCAGGATTAATCTAACAAAATCCTTAACACCAACGTGGCAATGGCTTTCACAGGCTGTAGTTTGATTTAGCCTGGCTCTTCTGTTGATAATGCAATTGCTTCATGCAGCTAAACACATTATATAAGGGCCAACTTGGTTTCACCTGAGTGAAGATAGCAGAACTAATTCTGTGTGACAACAGAGCCCAGCAGAGTCCACAGACACAAGCACTTCACATCATACTGTGTACATGAACGGTATGCTGCGAAAAAAACAAAAACCCTTAAAAATTTCCAGCATGGAATTATGAATCTCTACTTCGTCCTCAAAGTGCTGCTCTGGTTTCTTGTCAAGGCTACAGTTTGCAAATGAAGTAGAAAATCAGCAACGCACAAAACAAAATCTTTACCTGGGGTGAGAGGGGCAAATAAACCAGGATATATATTGCTAATGTTTGTAAGTGTTACTGGAGGGTAAATTAGCCTGTAATATAGACTAATAGGAAAGAAGAGATACTCATTAATGCACACACTGATGCACTTTACATTCAGAAACAACTGCAGCATATCCTGCCAGCACAAGCCTATATAAAAACCTGTTAAAAACATTTGTTATGTTTTTAAAGGGTATACCCAACTACTTAGGTATAATAAATTCTATGAATGGAAGCTCACAATTAGCACAGAAATTCTGCAATTTTATATACATTTATTTTAAATATAAATTCCATGATTCTTGTTTCCAAGTTCTTTTTTCTTTTATTTACTGCTGTCTTTGGTAAATTCCATGAACTCTGTTCCAATTAGTTCCATGAACTCTGTGGCCAAGTGACATTACTATTTTATAAGTACTGCCCTGCGGGATACGATCCTTAAACAAAAATTCTGACCCTCAAAGGCAAGAACATAACTCCTAGTCAACTGTGCCATAAAATACGCTAACTACATTGAGAGCAGGGAAAAGGCACTGAACTAGGACATGAGGGTTCCCAGCACATCCAGATAAACACAACTGACCCCACTGTAGATTCAGCAATACACAAAGAACAGAAAGAAGGTATCACGGTGCAGTAAGCAGCGGGTGACAAACTTGTCAAATAAATTCCATTTTCATATTTATGATGATGATTTAATGGTGAGAAACTTGGAAACATTAGGTAGAGGGCTCTGTTTCTATAAAGAATACCTTCATTTTTCATAATTCAGGAAAAGAGAAGAAAAATTCAAACACATGCATCTAATGACAAGAGAAATGACTAAAAAAAGGATCAGGTAATAAAAGCACCATAAAAAAGGAAAAAAAAGTTACAAAAAATTAGTAGCACAATTTTAGATTTTTTAAATTAATTTTAAAAAAATGAAAGCAAAGAGACAATGTTGAGATGGCCCCTTTTTGAATAGGCAGTAGTTTGGGGACTGTCTTAAAGACAAATCAAAAATTTTAGGCAGATTTTAAATGTAACGCAATGAAGGAATGAAATGTAATGAATGAAAAATAAAGACAGAAATAGTCAAGGTAACTGCTAAGTACACTTTGGCCATCTTTTAGATCTGAAGATAGACTCAAAGCTACATTTAGAGTGAAGAATAACTTACAGGCTATAAAAGCCTTATGAAAGTTTGACTTAAGGGCTGAAGAAGTTAGAGTTTCAGGATAAAGGAATGTTTCACTGCTTCCTTCTTTCCAAATACGTAGGAAATTCTGGCATTTCTAGAAGGTGACAGCCAGTTCAGATTATCAGAGAATCACAAAATCAGGATAAGTTTGCTGAAAGATCTTTACAAATACTGATGACCAGGTCTGAACAAGAAGCATCATGAAAGCAGTAATATATCTCACCTACCCAGTTATATATCTATAACTCTTTTGAAGAGCTTCCTTTTAGCAGTCTTTGGGCAGAAGGAAATCAGTAAGTCCAAAGAACAGAAGGGCTTTAGACTTTCCCAAGACTCAGCTCCAAATTCCTCAATCCTCAATGCCAACAGATCCTCCCCATCTGCATGCAGAAAGGGAGGATTTTGATGAGCATTTTAAAAAATCCACTCTCTGATTGACTTTGGGAAATACTATTTTAAGTATGATCGATGTGTGACACTACTTTCATACTCAGAGAGGAGTTTCAACATTTTAATTAGATCAAATGAAATAAAGTGAAAAATCTAGGAGTGAGCTATAAAGCCAAATGTTTATTCTACTTTCAGTGAAGACACTTTAATGGATCTTGGCAAGTTTGCAACAGAATAATGACACTAAAATAAAAAAGGTCTTCAAATGGTTTTAGAAATTTCAAAAGCATCCAATGCATTAGCAAAACAAAACTGTCTTCTACCAAATTAAAATAAAATTAAAATAAAAAGCATTGCTGTTAAGGACAAATTTTGTCAAGAGTCAAAGAAATATTCAAGATCTGTGGGGATTAAAATGAAATTCTTCACAATATTTGAACAAGTTCCCAAAAGAGTATGCAAATATAAAATAAAGATTAAAGGAGATCATTTACTACAATTTAATACAAACTAAAGTACAATAATCTAAAACTAGGCTACCCAATGCTTTATTTTGCATTCTATTGCAGTAGCTCCATGTGTGATTATGCATTGTACCTTCTGCTGAAAAGTTTTTAATCTTATTTCATTATTTCTTTATCTTCAGTAATTTCTGCCTATCCTACCATCAGTCACTTTGGACTTTTATTTCCCATATGTGAAGTGTTCTGAGAACATATTAAAAAGCAGAAATAATACAGATATAGTACATGCTTCAAGTATTCTCACAAACGGCTGAATTTTCCGTTGTTTTTGCCTTTCTCTATCCTATAATTTGGAGTCAAGAAATGTCTCTGGTTTGACTAATGTCTTTGGTTGAACTAGGTAAAAATGAGGTAAATAAATGAATTCTCAAAAGCAAAAAGGAAATCCATTTTTTTTCTCTCAATTTCTTCTCACTGTAGCAATTACGAAAGAGAAGATATTCCCTTTTAAATATGTGTCATTGTGGGAAAAATAAACAATAGATTCCGTAAATATAAAAGCTCCTAATATTTTAGTATTTTTAATAGTATTTACTTTCACTACTTTCATTAACCTTATAACAAGAGGAAGTGACATTTATATTACTCTAGCATCACATGCCACACTGCATTTATACTATGCAAAGATTAGTGTGGCCTGGATATAAAAAAATGATTTTCTATGCTGCCAAGCTGACAGAGCAGGGGACATTTCTTTATTACTGAAGTGGTAAGGAAGCTGGGGAGGGAGAGCTCGTGGTCCCTTTCCAGGAGCGAGCTTCCACAATGACTCAAGAGGAAGAGTTTCAAAGCCAATCAGGCCCATTCTGTTGGAACAAGACAACTATGAGGGAGACCCCAAGCGTAGGAAGCGAAAAAAAAATC